GGCCATCGTCTTGCCTCTCGAACTAACTGTATGCGGCTTAACTATTAATTACTGGGAAGGTGCCAGGGAAGTCAGTCTGGCGGTTTGGATTACCGTCTTCTGGGTCGCCATTATCTTCATCAACATATTTGGAACTTTGGGATATGCCGAAGAGGAGTTCTGGTCCTCCTTTCTCAAGCTCAGTGCGATTTGTGAGTGGATTGCATACTCGATCAAATACGACGGTTCTAATTAATTTGCCAGGCATTTTCATGATCGTCGCATTTGTCCTTGTCCTGGGAGGCGGCCCTTCCAACGGCCGCTATACCGAATACTGGGGAGCTCGATACTGGTACGATCCGGGTGCTTTCCAAAACGGATTCAAGGGCTTCTGCGGCGTGTTTGTCACTGCTGCGTTCTCTTTCGCCGGTACTGAGCTTGTTGGATTGGCTGCTGCTGAGTCCGCCAACCCGCTAAAGTCTCTTCCTGGCGCCATCAAGCAGGTGTTCTGGCGCATTACCCTTTTCTATATCTTGGGTCTCTTCTTTGTCGGCCTCCTTGTTCCCGCTGACGACCCTACCCTCCTTGGTGCCGAGAACGCATACGCTGATGGTGCTTCGCCTTTTGTCATTGCTGCCAAGCATGCTGGATTGAACGGATATGACCACTTCATGAACTGCATCATCCTGGTATCTGTTCTGTCACTTGGAGTTTCCTGCGTCTACGGAGGCTCCCGTACCCTCACTGCTCTTGCGCAACAGGGCTATGCCCCCAAGATCTTCAGCTATGTCGACAAGGGCGGTCGCCCCCTGCCATCGGTCGTGGTTCATCTGGTTTGCGGCGCCCTTGCCTTTATGAATCTGGATGCTGACGGTGAGACCGTCTTCAACTGGCTTCTCAACATGTCTGCTCTGGCTGCTCTGTTCACCTGGGGATCTATCTGCCTGTCCCACATTCGCTTCCGCAAGGCTTGGGCGTACCATGGTCACACGGTTGACGAGATCCCCTTCCAGGCGGCATTTGGTGTTGCTGGATCTTGGGTCGGCCTAATTCTTTGCATCGTCGTCTTGATTGCGCAGGTAAGTTGTATTGTCATTGAAGCTTCTATACCGTCTGCGTTACTAATACTAGCCAAGTTTTTCGTTGCGATCGCCCCTCCCAAGAACAACGATGAGCTCAATGACGCTGAGGGATTCTTCGAGGCGATGCTTACCGTTCCGGTCATCATGGTCTTCTGGGTCATCGGTTTCGCCTGGAAGCGCACTGGCTGGCTTCGCACCCACCAAATGGATGTCGACACCGGTCGTCGTGAGCTTGACTGGGATGAGATCAACGCCTACAAGGCCGAGGTTGCTTCCTGGCCTACCTGGAAGCGCATGCTGAACAGGTTCTTCTAGATATCTGTTGCAAAACTTCGAGAACGCATCTCTACTGAACTGGACTCAACGGTCAGGATGGTGATAGCCACTCTAGGTCACCCAGAGAGAAGGTTGCCGGATTTCCTTTTTCGAAACGGGCTTTAGATACCACAATCTATCTTTAAATATCCTTTGGAAATGGTTCCTCGACCCACTTCCAGAGGCTTGTGATATGAACGGCGAATGATAGAAGAAGTGGTTGTGATTATCATCACCAATAACTGATCGTGAGACTGAAAACCACGTGCACCGCAGATGATTGAATACTTTGCAAATGCACATTGTGAATGGCTTCAACGCCTGAGGAGCAAATTCCATGAGGATTCATCGGCTACCCACGGCTGCTGGCAATGGGTAATTGGCACAATCACTTAAGTTAGCCCTGATACTTCCTGGTATCGGTGATGACACCGATAAATCCAAGAGAGGAAGAAGTATCATGCAGGCCGAGACCGTCCATACACAAAATCCTCCAGGAATCAGGGCATGGGCGTTGGTCTATCATACGAAATTCTCGCAGGGAAGATGTACATTAGTATTCGGGGCAGGCAGATAAGGTTCAGGGGGTGCATAGGACGGCAGGATTGGCGTACAGGGCGAATGTGTGCGGGAGAAGAGGTCTAGAATGCTTCCGTGCCCGGTTGTTCCGGGGAGTTGGGTTGCTGGCTGGGAGGGAAGGACGAGGCGAGGCGAGGCTAGCCAAGGGGGCTTGGAAGGTGTGCCGAGGTCTAGGCATGAAGATAAGTTGGCAGCATGCAGGTCTCGGAGAACGAAGGCTGCGGCATAGAGGTTATCACGTGGGTTTGCCGAGGCTTGCTAGGTTTTTGAGAATCTTTCCAAGTATACTGAGGGAAATATCGGATGTTCGTAAGGTCATTCGCACTAAAAGGTAACGCATCTATGGCCGCCGATCATGGAGTCACAGCCTCAATCTCCTCTAAATCCGTCTAAGAAGAGCCAATGCCAAATCCACGGAAGACTACGTCCTCACATCGCTTCAAGAAGTCGAGAATGTCGGCTTCAGTGTGCCAAGCATCGTTGTACGCCGCGCTCAGACACAGCTCGCCTCGGAAGGTGCCCAAGAACAGACCCAGCCCGTTACCGAGCTCCTCGCCAGTGACCCACGGATCGTGGGCCTCAAAGGCTCCGTTCTTGGGAGCGATGATGCCGTCAACCCGCCCCATGCTCGAGATCGACACGGAGGGGTGAGCCTTGGGCGGCGGGACGGGCAGGGGCCGGGGACCATCGGGCAGCTCGGGCGTTATGGCGGCCCAGATGTCGGCGGCGAGGGCGTAGTGTTCCGTGTCGTTGCGGACGCCGTGGTAGAAGTCCTTCATCTGCTGGACGATGGGCAGGAACTCTTCCTGGACGGACTTGGCGTTGTCTTGACCATCGGCGGGGAGGTCCATGTCGACGACGAGACTCTGGCCTGGGACGGAGTGGTACAGCGCGGCGGGGTGTTCGGCGGAGTTGTAGGGTGCCTGGCAGCTTGAGCGCTCGTTGCGGAGGATGTAGTTGACGTAGCGGACGCGCTTGGAGACGGGGCCGCGGGGCTGGATGTCGCGGAGGACGAGGGCGATGGCGGCGTGGAAGGCGTGGGTGGGGGTCGCGGAGGCGGCCTTGCACGCTTTGAGGAGGTCGGAGGTCTGCGACTCGGTCAGGGTTCGGAAGACGCGCTGGTGTCGGTGAGGAACGGCTGCGCCGCGGCGGTAGGGCATGTCGATGATTTCAACGCCGGGAGTTTCCATGGCGGCGGCCTTTTGGGCGGACATATCGGCCAGACGCTTCTGCTGCGCATCGGTGAGGGAAGGGGGCACGTTGGCGGCGATGCGGAACGGCGGACTGAGGTTTGCGGCCTCGGAGCCGTCGAAGGGTGGGAGCTTGTAGGCATCGCCTTCGGAGTACGCCTTGGCTGCGTGGGTGATGAGGTTGTTGAGGAGGGTGAGGGTGCCGATACCATCGATGATGTCGTGGGGCGAGCGGAGGACGAGGTCGCGGCGCACGAGGCCGTCCTTGTTGGATGGTGGGCTGAGGACGAAGAGAGTTGGGACCTTGGGAGCCGGGGGGTTGGAGTTCGCCCAAGTGATGCCTGTTTGTTGTGAGGAGACCGGAACAAGGGTTGTCTTGAGCCAGGCCTCTTTGTCGGCTTCGTCTTGGAACTGGCGGTAGGTCTTTGTCCATTTCCCGGTGGCGGACTCTTGGGTCACCTGGGAAGCAATGGTGGGATGGTCGTGACGGAGTGCGAGCCATGCTTTCTTGAGAGCTTCGTCCACGGCGCTGGCGTCGGAAGAGGAGCCGGAGTTGGCGGCATCGACAGTCAGGGAGACATGGCCGGTAATGGCGAAGAACATGAGGCCGCTGCCCTCGTAGAGGACGGGAAGAATGGCATAGTGCTTCTCTATCTCGTCGATGCTGCGTTTCCATAGCCCGGTGGAGGTTTGGCGCCAAACGAGCTCAGGGTAGGTGGATGATGCCATACTGAATCAGGCAAGGTTGATGAGCAGGTTGGAAACCGAAGATCAAAGAGACGAGGGGTAGCAGGATGCTTTCATGATCCGGTTTCCTGAGGTCAGCTCCTGTTCTTCTTAATGGTTTGAGAACTTACTCACGCGACATGGAAAGATTCCCGAAAACCCCGCCGTCGTCGGAAGGGTTCATGGCAGACCCGATTCCAACATGGATCTGCCACGATCTCACGACGGCGGTTGGGAGATAGCCCAAAAGGGGAATGGCGGCTTCGAAGCGGAAGGTGGGGAAGGCGTAATGGCAGAAGGTTGGGACCGTCCGATTGGCCATGGCATCGCCGAAGATTAGCCAAGGCGGGCCCTAAATCCCTGCCTGTGATCTGAGTGGTTCAACTCTCCGGCGTTCTACCGATAACACCAGCTGAGATATCAAAACGAGAAACTGCTTATTAGTAGGTAAGCAGCGTTCATACGTGGTACGTGCCGGGCAATTCAAAGGATAACGACTATGACTAAGAGGGGGGGAAGTCCTAAGAGATTTCCAGAAAAAAAAGTTCTAGCGCTAGGATTCGAGCCCTAGTGCTTGAGAGGATAACCCCGAACTCTGTGTCAGCTGGCATACTGGTTCTACCATACTGGGCATATTCACGGCCGCTTATTCCAGCTCGGTTGTTGGAGAATTCGGGCACTAGCCACCCTAAATACTTTGTGGCCATCAATGTGTGCTCAGGACGACCTGCCTTAGTAGGCGCCACGGACAGACGTTTCCACGCAAGTCTTTGTCCATTTGTCCACATTCATGGGAATTTACAAATGCCGCTTTTGATAAATTGCCCTAAGATCTCAGAGCGATTCAAAAAAGGAGCACGTAGTCAGTCGCGCTATTTCGACAGTACCAACTTGTTCGAGAGCTACCGCTACCATACTCGTCAAAACTGTTCATGTCGAAACGTCATTTTGGTCAATCCTTCTGAAGACAGATTGAGCATTTCAATCTGAAGCCAGAAGGACTTCTGCACATGCAAGAAGTTTGCCAAAGCTGCATGATTTGAATTGACTGGTGTGGTATGAACCCTACGTAAAATCTGTGATGATACTCCTTCAGAAACTCCCCTGCCCTCCAAATGCGAATGCTAGCTCACGACTTCAGACCGAGAATATCATCGGCGATATCTCCGAGCTTGGAAGTGCGCAGGAATCGCACAAGTTGGTCCGACTCCAACTCTGCTTTGCCTTGATCCTTTCTCTCGCGGTTGACGGCAGGTCGGACCACATCCCAGAGTTGGTGCATACGGTGGACCCAGCCATCGTGAACGCGGGGAGCGACAAGTTCAGCACGCTTATTTGCCGCCTTCAAACCAGCCTCAAGACCCTTGCACTTTGAACACGCGACTTCCTCGTCAGTGGTCTTCGCCGAACCCTCCGCCTCGTCCTCGTTCTCACTGGGAGTGATTCGGCGCATCTTCGGGAGGTTATAAATCTTATCCTCGAGATCGTCGGAGGTCCGCTTCCGGCCAGCCTGAGCTGGGAGTACTAGGGTGTGGTTAGCTCCGCAGATCCTTTCTTGCTGTAGTACTGAGGAAAACTGGCTCACCGAGAGGGGCATTGGCTGCCTGTTGAGCAGCGATCTTTGATTCGGCACCGTCAATGAACTCATCAATGGCTTGGAGGAACGGCAAGAACGTCGACCTGATCTGAGGATTGTCGCCTCCTTTAGTCAAGAATCGCTTCCGAGCGGTAATGACTTGGTCGATGATGGCAGACGACTTGCGCGGGGCGGCATCGAAGTTCCAATTGGGGTGGAGCCCGCGGAGCTGCCTGAGAGCTTGGACAAAGACCTCTCTGACGCTGGCTAGCTTTGGGTTGGATTGATAAATTCGCAGACCAACCTCCATAAGCTGGCGAAATCGGTCGGCGGCATTGATCGAACCCTCAAGAGGCGCAGGCTGGTTGACGGCACGAGGAAGGAACATTTTAGCGACTAGGCCCGAGTGTTGCTGGCTGGCGAAAGGAGCGTCTTGGGGAACATCAAAGTCAAGACCCGGGAGCAGTTTGATGTTGGGATGCGCTGAAAAGTTTCGACGCGGCAGGGAGGTCATCATGGACGCGAGGTCGAGGTTCTCAGAGCTTTGTTGGTTGCTCTGGTCGTTGGTTGCTCTGGTCGTTGCTGCCCTGGTCGTTGCCGCCCTGGTCGTTGCTGCTCTTGTCATCGTTGTCTTGGTCGTCGCTACCCTGCTCTTCGCTGCCCTTGTCATCGTTGATCTCAGCGCCATCGGCGTCCTTGTCGTTGTTGTCGCCATTGTCGTTGGCACTGTTTCAGTGTCAATGAAAGGAGTCAGTAGAAACAGGCTGAAAGGGGCATACCTCATCTGTGGCTTAGGCTGCGCAGGCCGCATTGGCAATGTGAAGCTGGAAGGTGTTGCCATCTCAAGCTATTGTGGTGGTGAGATGAAGTTGGAGTGAGGTAAAAATGGGAAGGGTGGGAAAACTTGGAATTGTTTTGCTTTTCTCTGAGGGTGAGAGAAAGAATTTTTCGGGACGAGATTCTAGCAAACCCTGATTGGAACGCGTCCGGCGCAGCGAGCGTGAGAGAAAGGCGCTCTGGGTGAATGAGGCACTGGGTGAGAGGCGGGAGTCAACTTGAGAAGTCACGTGTCCACCAACCGCTGCCTCAAGGTGAGGCGGCCCTGAAGATATGTAGGGAGGTTTGCGTCAGGATCGAGCAACAACAGCGCTAGGAATAAGCGGCCGTCAATATGCCCAGTATGGTAGAACCAGTATGCCAGCTGACACAGAGTTCGTGGTTATCCGGCGCTAGAGCCTTCAGGTTCGATCCGCTCTTTTGACCTTTTTTCTTTTATTCCTTTTCCTATTCACTGTCGCATTCAGAGTCTTTCTCTTCAGTTTCCACGCCTGCAGATCTAATGATGTTTAGCTTGAGTAACTGTTTAATATTTAGAACCCTAAAGAAGAATAGCCTCCTACTCTATGCTGCAAATGAGCTTGAGGAACTCTAATGAATCTGGTTGTAGGACCAATGGATGCTGAAAGAGAACGGTGTACTGTATGGAGTTCCTGGAGCATTGAGTGCTGAACTGTTCGCCTTCCTTTGAAATTAACTAACGACTCGATTAGATCTCATGGTAGGAATGTGCTGAAGTCCCGCTACCTTAGTGTTTTATCTCAGAATAAGTATGATTGGGATTGCAAAATCATGGCAGAACAGACTCCTTGACGTGACCTCAGCTTCCATTCAGTACATCCTGGTCCTCAACTTGAGCTAGGAAGTGGGCACTCCCAGGCAACACATGACTTACATGAAAGACATGGCTGCAGGTTGCAGGGATCACAATCGCGATATATCCTAATCAGGTAAACGGATGCGGAGGCCCACAGTCCCCGCTCACCGTGGTAGACGTCTTCACGAAGATTGGAATCGAAACTATTGCGTTTCTAATTCTACATCGTCGCCTGTTCAACGTATTATTTAGATCGTGGAGTCTTTAAATAGCTACTAAGCATGAAGCTTTCGGGAGTTTTGGCTATGGTCCCTGCCATCGGCACAGCTGGCACTTTTCGAGTCCTGGACCCACCTGCATCCGTCTGCGCGTCCGCCGGCAAAGGCCATGTTGGATATTACGATTTCTGTAGGTAAAGCTTGAGTGTCTGCGTGAGATCTTCAAAGCTGATAATATTTAGCTAATGACACACCAAGCATCTGTTTTTCTGGTTGGCGGAAAGTCGCAGCGATCCTGTCAATGATCCTATGGTTCTTTGGATGAGCGGGGGCCCCGGCGCCTCTTCCGTAGCCTTTGGTCTCTTTCAAGAACTTGGTCCTTGCCTCATTGACGGCGCTAACGCAACAAGACCAAATCCATATGCATGGAACAATAACACGAACGTCATTTTTGTTGAGTATGGATTGTTCCTGAAATCACTAGGACGACAAGGCATAAGCTGATTAATTGGACTGGAAAGTCAACCATGAAATGTTGGCTTCTCATATTCCCAGACTCCTGTGACCAATTTGGAAGACGCCACATCCGACATGTACAGCTTTCTCACGGCGTTCATGGAAAATTTCCCGCAATATTCGCACCAAGACTTCTACATCATAGGAGAGTCGTATGAAGGGACTTGGGTTCCAGCACTTGCAAGGAAGATCCACCACCGACAGTCCTCCGCAATGGCGCAACTCGTGCGATCAACCACGAATGTCAATGAGACAAAGATAAACCTGAAGGGAATTGGACTGGGCAACGCGCAGCTCTCACAGAAGCTGCAATGGCCTGGGTTCTACCCGACGGGATGTCTAGGGCCCAGTCCCGTCTACAACGACAGTGTTTGCTCCATCATCGAGGCGCATATGCCGCAATGCGAGAGCATGCTGCAGGTTTGCACTGACATGGATAACGATGCCGACGTCTGTAATAATGTGCTAGACTATTGCAGGAAGCGAAGCGTCTACTTCATCCTCGACGAGCACCTGAACCCTTACGATTTCCGCAAGCCTTGCCCTGACGGGGGGCTATGCTACGAAGAGGCCGACTGGATCGCGGAATATCTCAACTCTTCCTCGGTAAAACAGGAGCTTGGTGTATCCGAAGATACCATATTTAACATCATTGACTATGAGCTGGGACAACATTTTGATAAGTCAGGAGATGTTTCTTTCGACACCGTCGCCTGGGCCGGAGAGCTGCTAGACCAGGTAAGGAGGACCATATCTTTTCTGTAAACCCAAGGCTAAGATAACGACAGGAATACAAGGTGCTTGTCTACGCTGGCAACAAAGATTGGTTCTGCAACTCAGCGGGAGAAAAGAATCTGGTTCACAACATTCGTTGGCGTCACCAGCCCGCTTTTCAAGCACAAGACTTCCAATCATACACTTTGGATGGAGAAAGAATAGGCTCGTTCAAAGGAAAAGATGGCCTCAGCTTCGCAGAAATTCTCGATGCGGGGCACATGGTGCCAGCTGACAAGCCGAAGGAGTCACTTTTCTTGATACAATCTTGGATGAAAGGGGAGTTAAACTCTACGTGAAATGATCATAGTCTAAAAGCATTGTATCTATTGACATAGGGGAGTAGGAGAAAGTATAGGTGAAGGGAATAAGTGGTGATGCTTGAAATGATGGGTTGCTTCGCCATGCAAACTGGAATACCTCGCGACTGCTAAGTTCAAGCCCGAGTATATGAGAAGCTGAAGGAGCTCAAAGTGCGATGAAAGCCCTGGGAAGGACCCAACTTGCGGTTCAATCAGCAGGCGATGGAGTCCAAGTCGATCTCCTCCTTGCGTCTGCGGATTTGCATCTTGACAGTGGGGTCTGGCAACAAAGCCATGCCGAATGGGACAGGCTGAGGGTTGCATCCCTCAGGGAGCTTCCAGTCGTACTTGAGCAGAACATGAGCCAGCGCAATCTTGATCTCGTTGGCAGCGAAGAAGCGACCGGGGCAAGCATGCTGTCCATGACCGAAGCCGGGGTGCTTTGAGCTCGTAGAGACCAAGTGTGCGTGCTTCTCCTCGTCGGTAGAGCGCATGTTCAGGAAACGGTAACCGTCGTACTTGCCGGCGTTCTCGTACCACTGCTCGTCCCACATGTGAGTGTTGTTGGCGATAATCTTCTGGCCCTTGCGAATCTTGAAGCCGTTGGAAAGAGTGATGTCTGCGGTTGCGAGCCGGCGCCAGGTGGCTTCAAGTTTGAAATTAGCATCACTGAAGAAACACTATTCAGGGGATTTGAACCTACAGAGAAGGACGGGCTTCATGCGCTGCGATTCCTTGATGACACTGTCCATGAGCTTCAAGTTGTAGAGCGCAGTCTTCTTCAAGCCCTCGGCAGGCAAGACACGAGCCAGTTCGTCGCGCAAGGGCTGGATGAGCTCCGGGTTGCGGGCCAAGTCGATCAAAACCGTTTGGAGGAGGTCGCTCGTGGTGTGAATGGCAACGAGTGAGAGCGTGATCTTACCATAGTAAGTACTTATTTCAAGTGATGAGAGGGGAAGAGGCTTACCTGTTCAGTCGCAGGGTCGTATTTCCTGTTCTTGTAGACTTCCTCAAACCACTCGATAGAGTCATCGAACTGGACACCCTGGGACTTCTTCACCTTGCGACGCTCGAGATGGGGCTTGAGAATTCTTCGGCAGTCCGCCAAGAGCCTTCGCACTCTCCAGCATGACGGGAGGAACCAGTGGACATAAGGTCGGGACCATCTGGGGTAGTAACCGAGTTCCCAGCCAACGCCGAAAGCGACAGCAGTGTATTCCGATGAAGCTTTGATCCACTCGTCGTCTTGGCAGAGTTCTCCGCCCATGAAGACTCTGGTTGACATGCGGGAGACGACGCGGATGATGTCATCCTTGGGGACCATCTCGTGCCAGTCTAACTTCCCATGTCAGCTTTTGGATTCTCGTTCGATCGGAAACCCGAACTCAGGCCCTACCCTTCTTGTCGGTGAAGATTTGCTTGAGGACAATGGTAGCTTCTTCGGAGATTGGCTTTGTAAGCTTGGCTAGAGTGACACACAAGTCAGCTTTGAAGCTCTTTCGGACTAGGACAGGTGTGGTATCATACTCAGCGCCTTGGTCAAGTACTTGGTCACGACCTTGGGTGAATCATCGTTTCCCGCGAAGGGCTCGAAACCGGGGATGTATCCATGAGAGTCCTATAAGCGCCCATGTTAGAAAACTAGTCCTCATCATTTGTCCGCTCCTCCCGAGTGGGCTGTATTACATCGCTGGCAGGCGTGATAAAGTCGAGACGCGGGTCGCTGCGCAACTCTTGAATAAATTCGGCCGGCAAAACAACAGAGGCGCCCCATTCCGAGTAAAGCTGGTACGGGTTCTTGCCAAAGGTTGCTGTTGCGCGCAGGAAGATGTCCTTGCTCTGTTGTATAAATTCAGTCATGCGGCGTGAATTGGTGAATTCGAATGGCTTCAGAGGGTTGATCTCGGGGAGGTTCGGGCCGCTATCGCCCATCACGTAAAACAACACGATGAACAGGAAGACTGTTGCGAGGTATGGGATCGGCTTTTCGCTGGGAGATGGGATCGAGTAGGACCCGAGGCCCAACTCGAGGGCTGGGGAAGCCATGGTGGCGAAGGAAGGCGTTCGTCTTGTTGTGGTCGTGTTCAGTCGATACCGCACGGTCGAGTTCCACGTTGTGAGTGTGTGTGTTGATGTCGTCTGTTGATGGTGTTGAGCAGTTCAGCAATCCGAGCCGGACGAACAGGTTGTGTTATAGTTCCCATCTTTGCGATGAAATATCGTCATGACGGACTTTGCCAAGGCCGAAACCGCGATTCGACTCTTAGCAGAGTCTTTAACGAACCCGAATAGCAACTCCACCGTTGGAACATGCACGCGTCGTCTATGCCTCATCTACGTGTCGATGGGGCCAAGCTTTTTCTCCACTGCGGGTACTACTTCCGACCGAAGTGTCGCCCGTTGTTGCATCCTAGTGGTGGGAAGTCTGAAAATCGCTGAACGTTATGTAAGGTTGTCTGGCTAGCGTCCGTGGATTCCACGGGGCGCGCGTGAGGGATGCGGACGGGAGTCGGCAGATGGGGTCCGTATTCGTATCTCGGAGACTTGCCAAAGGCGTCCGAGTGCCCGCCAAGTGGGCCCCGCCGCCGATCTCGACCGGGAGATGGATAGAGTTGCCGGTGGTGTTCGTGCTTTGACCAGAGATTTACGACGACATTTCCCTGTCACGACCAATGAAAGGAAGGTTGATTGCGTGCGTCATGCAGCCATCGTTTAAACTGGTGGAACAACAGGCTTGTTCACGTCTGTCATCCGAGTTTAAATGGCCCACTTTGGGGTTTTCCAGGTCATCATAAGACATGCTCCGTGATTCGTCTAATATGCCCGCACCGACGCTCGCATCGATCCTTGGTGAAGCCATGACTTCCAAAGGCAATCGACATTTATTTCTCAAGTCTTAAAAGTTGCATTTGCAGGAGAACCAAGGCCGAATGCCGATGGTCCTTATTACACAGGCATTTGGTCCTTATGAGAACAGCGTTCCCCAGATCTTGCGCCCTAACTTGACGCGCCCTAGGTATTGAGAACCCTTAGTTGAGCAAAGTGTTGCGAATGCGAGATGTACCTATTCGGGATTTGAAGCGGACGCCGCCCGCGGTCCGTCCCGTCAGCCACCAACGCCGCCTTCCGCAACTTTCGCTTAGTTGCCGGCGCCTAAGTGGAAGTTAAGTGAGGCTTTGTTTTAACCGAGTTCAATGTGTGTTACTATTCTCGATGTATGAGGGCTTTTTGTGCGAATCAGCCAAGATAAACATCGCACTGCTAACGACTTGCAGGTCTGTCTGGGAGACGTAGGCGTCTAGGAGAGCTCAGACAGACAGCCATCGGCCCGTCCAAGGACACCGGAATCGCGTCAGGAAGGTCTCAACGAACTAGACTAAGAAACGAGTCAGAGATAGAAATGTCTACAGCCCGTCGGGTCACAAGACGGAACCCGATGTTTGCCTCCAGAGGCCGTGATACCCGAAGGCCTTGTTCGTGCGACCAGATGATGAACAAGTTTCTTGGCCTATATCCGTGTTCCTTTACAAGTGGATGGCTTAGATATGAAATTATCATGAACAAAGTTTATTGTGGTTCGTCACGCTAGACGATTAGCATCAGTGGCGGAGTTTCTGTCAACAGGTTTTCTCAGGGACAAGTTCTCCCCGCAGATTATTGATGTAAGGTATATTTAATGGTGACCCCAAGCACGGTAAAGGAGACTTGCGTGAATACGCGTACTACAAAACCTTAAGTAGCGTTAGTGAACGACGCAGATAGGGGATGTATTTCTCGGTGGCGGACGCTTCGTTTCCTACGAGCTGAGCACTTCTTCCCCAGGTCTCTGTCACTTTGAGAATGCGGACACAAGGAATGTTGGTTTCTCAGCCAACGTAATAGAATGCCTAAAATAGAGTCGGCAGCATTGGTCAATGACATATACCTAGGTTCCGAGATGAGCGGCAAAAGTGTGCCCCGATCATTTGAGATCAGCCGCAGTAGGATGCCGCACGAATAGTCAGCCGAAGACTTAGGAGTGATCCATCATTTATCATTTAAAGTTATCATTTAAAGTTGAGCTCAGAAATGCCGCTCATAAACTTTTATCCCAAGCATGGCAAACCCGTCGCCTTTGCGTGTGAGGGTAATACAATAATCTCCGAACGCCGATTTATAAAAACATAGCTCCCTCCTCCGAGAACTTAGAAAGGCCGGCAAGGGGGATCAACAGCGCCACATCGCTTGCCAGTCGTGGACGTGGAGTCAGCTAAGACTTGTGAGCGACTTCAAGCCTTTAGGGATAAGTTGGACGATAGTACATACTCTTGCAGATGAGAGGTGTCTTGTTGTTAAGACATCTAATGCAATCGGCATCATTGCGGCATTCACCTACAAGAAATAAAATGTTAGTCTTCCTACGCAAGACCATATCGCGGGATTGGTTGAGGAGGTCATGTAAGCCCCCGCTTCAAGGACTACATACCTCCAATGCCGCGCTGCGCAACGACAGCAGAGACAAGGAAGGGCAAGACGGCGATGAGAGAGAAACGCATTTTGATGTTGGTTGAAGATGGCAGGGATATTCTTTTGGCTGAAAACGATTGATGATGTTGATGAGTATGGACGACAAGGTATAATTTGAGACTGAATTTGACAACGAAAACAACATGGTAATATTGACGACTTATATATGTGGTCTGATATGTCTAAGTCGGAAGGCATGAGTTGGGTCGACGATATTTCTCCCCGAGTCATGTCAACTAATTGGCCCTTGCTGTCTAACGAGAGAGCGCGCTGGTGCACAACACATGCTTGACTCGAATGTCAAACATTGAGGTTGGTTGCGTAGCAGAACCGTATGAAAGGACAAACTCTATTTCATCAGGTGTCACCTCCCCATATTGCACCATGAAATGGGACGAGCGAAAACACCAGATGGCAATCGGATGGAAAACGCGTCGAACGGCCATATCGGCTGCATCGAAGCATCATATTGTCTCTCCGAACATCACTATTCACAATTGCCGGTGTAATTCCTCAAAGAAAAAAAAGATATATAATGACATTAGCGCTGTTGACAAGACTATGGATAAATGCGCTCAAACACGGAGACCATGCATCGGCTTTGGTTCCGAGATCGACATAAAACAGGACGAACGTGAACATTGGAGACAGACCTCAGACGACCCAGAAAAGTCCCCAGACAGAAAGCCCAGAAACCCGACAATTTGGACAAGTTTGCCGATCTACCCCATGCACTCCCACCAATCATTATTCGCATTTTCTCGAATTATCATGCGAGTACGAGGTGATTGGTCTGTACATCAGCTGGCAGAAGCCCTACCCGAAACCCTCGCATCTCGGAATGACCGCGATTGAGTCATGCCATCTCACCAACTCGGGAGGTCTGAGGCCCGGCATATGTCTTCCGTTGACAAGAGTCGCAGCAACTCGCCGTGTTCCCCCGGGATGGATGCCGAGACCGAGAATCATCTACGCCGACTTAGCATACTCGGTTTTACACGGCGACTATGTGCGCCATTTGGCGGTAAGGTGGGAGGTACGGTGTGAGATCTGCAACGCCCAATGGATCTGCTTTCCCGTCTTGCGCCCGCAAGCAGCGGAACAGCCTCTGGAGACCGGTCTTTACTGTGTGTTTCTCCCCGCCGAAGCTCAGGCGGAACCAACCTGGGGTTCTGGCGAAGAATGCCTGGGGCGCATCGGAGTTCGTGTCAGCGTTGGGTGTTTTCGATCTCGTCTGAAGAGGGGACAAGTTCCGCTGACGTACCTTTCCGGGTTCCAGGAATACTCCGTTCTCCATCAGGTGCTCTAGAAGCTCCAACTCGCCATCCTTGCCGTGTTGTGCGAACAGCAAGTCCATCCAGTCGGAGAGATCGACGAACATGAAGAACCCTGAGTCGGCCTTCATGTATGGAATGTCATATTTGTCGAGCTCGCCCTCGACAAGGATTCGCCTCTTCTTTAGCCGGCGGTTGAACGTTGGCGTGTAATGGTCTTTGAAGTACTTCTTGTCCGACAGCAGCTTTGCCGCAATCGTCGCGCTGTACGATGAGACCCAGCCAAACATGCTGGGGACCGTTAGCAAGGATCTGTATCTTCACTGACTGGCTGGACTAACCTTAAAGTTCGCATGGTATCGTGAATCTCCTGGTTGTACGTGGCAAGGAACCCTATTCTGAGACCGCCAAGTCCAAAGTCCTGCAGTTTGTGTCGTTAGCACCCTCGTCACCGGGGACAAAGCTGATTCAATCTTCACGCAGTGGGGACAAAATGCGAGATCGCCGCAACTTACTTTGCTCATCCCCCACAGGACGTGCACGTTTCTGAAGTTCGTGTCCAGTCCTAGACTCAACATGCTTGAAAAGTTGTCTCCGGTCATGGCGTATATCTCGTCGACAACAAGATGCACTTTGTACTTGGAACATAGTTGCGATATTTGCAAGAGAACATGTGCGGAATAACACCGACCCAAAGGGTTCTCTGGGTTCGCAAGCAGGACGCCGGCAACCTTCCGACCTTGACTCAACTCTCGCTCGATTGCATCTTCCAGGCGGGCCACAATCTCGCATTGGCGAGCTCCATCACCGTTACTTGTGGGTTGTCCCGTGAACCGATCATCAGGTATGTCATCGCATGGTACTTCGACAAGGCGCACTTGATTCCTTGTGGAGATGTCGTGGGCGAACATGCCGTAGCTTGGCGTTGGAAGCAATATCGAGTCACCCTCATCCGCGATGTTGTAGGTCAATGTGTCTAGCAATGTCGTAGCTCCGTTTGCTACAAGGATGTTGTCCGAAGTCAATGGAATGCGGGCATTGAAGTGTTCGTTCATGAAGTCGGCGGCGGCTTTGAGGAGCTCGGGGGAGCCTTGGGTATCATTGTATCCGAGACCTACGACCAGAGAAAATCGTCAAATGCCGGTTCAAATACGAATCATTCTTCGTTGGGAAGCCTACCATCTTTCAGCTCGCCCTTCTTCAAATTCCACCTGGTCCAGCTGGCAATGTCTTCCAACATCAGCTCGTTGACAGCAGAGCCGAGGTCAATGATCCCCTTTGGGTTCTTTGATGGATGATATTGATCTTGTTCCACCCTCCGGCTGAGATCGATCATCAGATCGGGCTGGACATTCCGTCTTCCCCGGCGTGACGGCGGCAAGGCGTGACTGGTAGACATGACGGCGTTGCTGTAAGTGAGGGTTTTGTGTTGACTTGAGGCCTGACTCTGAACTTTCCTCCTGCCAAAAATGACTGGAAAAGAAGGCATCTTACCAACATATTTGTACAATCACTCTTCGCAAGACTTTTTAATTCTTGTTAGTTGCCTGACTTCCGGGTCCTGCTGAGGCCAAGCCACGGACCGGGGTCGGCCGACCCGCACCGCATGCCCCACCCATCTTCTTCCCTCAAAATTGCCTGTTCGGGAATACAAATGCGACAATGTGGTGGTTGTTAGCTCCTTATGTTGACTCACTCCGCCATTCCATCATGATCCTGTGGAGGGCGTCACCAAAGTTTGATGGCGCAAATTTTACATTTGTCATCTGCGAGCATTTCTCCGACTTCTTGATCCATACCTAGCACTGTCCCCAGCCTCTGTCGCGTTCTTTTGCGAATGTGATGGCGTCCCCACGCTGGCTTACGCGCATTTTAGCTTGCGCGGCCCTCACCAATCATGTTGTCGGCGCCTTTGCAACAGGCTACAGGACGATTGTGTCGGAGTTTAGTGACCACTCAATACGCGTCAAAAGTTGGTTGGCTGATGACGCGCTTCTTTGTCACGCAGGCGCCAGGCAGCACACTGGTTGAGCAAATATCGGTGAACGCCATCTGTTTTTCTGTCCGTCTTACCACACCTTTCTCTCGCAGAGACAAAAGTACTGATGCGTGGCACGCAGGGTTCCACGAGGCAAGACACGATGAGCAAGATGCACCCTTGATGATTTGGTTCCAGGGAGGCCCGGGCGGCAGTTCTCTGCATGGCATGCTTTACGAGAATGGACCCTGCCTAAGCGATGGTGCCAACGGGACCGAGTTTAACCCTAATTCGTGGACGGAACACTTCAATATCATCTACCTCGACCAGCCTGCTGGTGTCGGGTTCTCTTATGTGGATGATTATTCCGACAAGACATCATATCCCTCCCGCGCCGAAGAGTCTGCTGTCGATGTTATCAGCTTCATAAAGCTCTTCTACGAGGCTTTCCCCGACTTCGCTGACGCCGACCTGCACCTGGCGGGAGAATCATATGCCGGAAGATACATCCCGTCAATTGCATCGACAATACTTGAGTACAATGACTTTCTGACTTCAGCGCCTGATATCAAGGCAGCTCTGGCCACCATACCCTTGAGGTCGTTGATGCTCGGCAACCCATGGATTAGCCCCGCCGAGCAACTAGTCTCGATGTATGATGTGTCTTGTTTTCCGTACCGGGACCAGTTTGATACTCACCTGGACCCCGAAGACTGTGCCAGGGCGTTAAAAGCTGTTGACAGATGTGAAGCAGTCGCTCGAGCATGCGCATTGTGAGATAACGATCCAGTCCTCTGTGCTCAGCCGAAGAAGCTATGCCAAGACGATTTCATTGGCATTTTTGCCAATGTGACAAGAAGCTACTATGACAGACGTCTTCGCACTTGCCCAGGTCCTCAGGATTGCTATCCGGACATTGCTAAGATGGTTGACGTTCTCAACTCCGACAAGGTGTTCAGGGATCAACTCGAAGTTCCAACTCAGACCGGTGGTCGAAAGAAGGGATGGGATATGATGAGCCCACTGATAGAAAGACGGTACTTCGAGTCTGGTGACTTTTACACACCCGCCATCAAAGACCTGCAAAAGATTCTCGACCATTCTCAAAACTCCATTCGTTCTAGATGGCAAGGTGTTGTGGACGTGCTGGTATACGTCGGTGTGGCTGATATCATTTGCAACGCCGAGGGTGTCTTGGAGGGCCTGAAGAAGGTCAGATGGGCTGGCCGAACCCCTTTTAGAGCGAGTCCATGGCAAAATCTGCCGTGGAATGCGTCCAAGGGTGGAAACGGTGGGAGGATCAACAATACTACCGGGCTTTGGCTTGCAGAAATTGAGGAAGCGGGACACATGGTAAGACAGCTCGTTCGGGTCATGACGTACATCCTTTTGACGAGTTGCGCAGGTACCTCACGATCAGTCGGCTTCATCACTCAATCTCGTCGAATATTGGCTGAAGATTATGAAAACCATAAGCGGCGGCACAAAAGCTTTTGTGAACCCCATTGCGAAAGATGAGCTGAAGGATAAAGCGGCAGTGAAGGGTGCGAATGCTGGTGTGCTTGAGTTGCTTAAGCAAGACATCGAAGGTGCGACGGATTTGTAGTTATGATTAGACATTCAATTCCGAGAAACAAACTTTGCGGCACCAATTGGCTCAGTTTCAATTCGCTTTGATAGATAAGCATGAAATGTTTAAGCTTCTGTCTTGGAGAGGCGGAATGAAGCCGAAAAGTCACGCTTAGACCCGTTTATCCGGCAGTGGACGGCGGAAACTCTATGGTGGGGCGAAGACGTTCCGTCCCTGTATTTGTGGAGTAACAGGGGCTTTTCCGGCTTCGGCTACTTCAAGTCGGATGTCGGATATCGTCAGCAACCGGCAATATTGACTGCTCCAGACACACCTTTGTCTCCCAGAGCCCCCCAAACCGAAATGCTGTCGATGATAGATTCTCCCGAGATGGACTCTCCTGTGTCTCAGCATGCTGCTTCGCATAGCCCTGCAACTCCAAAGAAAAGTCCGCGGGCTAGGGTACGAGTTAGCCGAGCCTGCGACTACTGCAAAAGGTACGAACATTCCTCGGATCGGGAGGTTTGATATCGCAGCAGCGTGTCAGTTGGAATATGAATGCTGACTTTCCTCAAGCAAAAAGATTCGATGCACCGGAAAGCAGCCCTGTCCAAAATGTGTTCAAGAGGACATCGTTTGCGAGTTCAAAGCCCCATATGCCAGGGGTAAACGAAGGCCTCGCCCCAACTTGGGGATTCTATCTGAATCACCCTCAATCTCACCCTACCCTCTTTCAACTCCCCAGTCAGTTCAAGATACTCAGCCTGAGACTCATGGCCATGGTTTAGCTGGCATCGCAATTGAGAGTGACTCATGTGAGGGACGAGAACCAGGAAATGAAGCTTCGCCGGAACCGGGTGAGAGTGATCGCCAGGGTCATTTTGTTGGCGCTTCATCAGGACTTAGCTTTCTCCTCCGCTTGCAACGACGTTTGAGAGAGAATAGTGGTGGATCGACGGAAACATCAGTCTTTGCTCTCGGTGATCCTGTTCTGCCTCAATTCGACGACACTGCGGTCATTTTACCCCCGAAAGAAAAGGCGGACAACTTACTGAAAACCTACTTCGAGCTATCCTCGCCAACGTACAGATTTCTTCACAGACCTACAGTCGAGGGTTGGTTGGAAGAATTGTACCAAAATGGCATGGTTTCGGCACCTCACTCTAGAAGTAAATATGCAGTGATCATGACCATGTTTGCCCAGTCGATTCAGTACATCGAGCCGCAGGGTACTTCTAACGTCAGTAATGGGTGAGTTTTGACCATCAAAAGAACAAAATCAGGGCCGCTCTAATTGCGTTCATAGCATGCTCTACTTTCAGTCTGCCGAACAGGAGCTCAATCGTGAGACAGAACCCGCTACTTTGACGAGCGTCCAAGCTCTCCTCGGTTGTTGCTTCTACATTATGACTCAGTCACGACTCAATCACTGCTGGAGCCTTTTTGGGACAACCTCAAGACTTGTACTTGCATTGGGAATGCACCGGAAGAAGTTTAATCTCGACGGTATAGGCGACAGCACAGGATGCCTCATCGAATCTGAATGCAGGAAACGGACATTCTGGTGTGCATACAACCTGGACAGATACTTGAGTGCCATCTTCGGCCGGCCATGCGCCTTCCATGATGGCGATATTGACCAAGAGGTTCCTGCAATCATTGAGGATCACGCTTTGGGCAGTACATCTGTGGATGTCGCCAGTCGAAGAGCTATGAATATCATGCTGGGTCCTCTAGCACACCAACAGCTGGCTAGGATACTGAGCAGGATCTTGAGACAGCTCTATGGCATCAGCTCGCTGGATGAGACATCAAGGCACGAAAAAATGGCCAGACTGGGCGCTGAGATTCAGACCTGGCGAGACCAGCTCCCGGCTTTCCTTAATCCGGACAAAGTCGACTCCCGCATCCTGCAACCAATCTACCAACGGCAGAGCAATACTCTGAGCCTCGCGGCTGGACACTGCCTGATGCTCATTTATCGGCCATGTCTCTTCAACGACTACACAAAGTCCAGTCATGATAAGGGGACGAAAGAAAATGTTAAGAGATGCGTTGACGCAGCCTTGAGTGTCGTGACGATCATTGACTACATGGTCGAGTCGAAGCAGCTGTATCCCTCGCTCTGGTTTGCACCGTATCAGGCGTTCTGCGCAGTGGTTGTGCTGTACACATATACCATCCGGAATCACAAAGACAACCAGGCTCCTTGGAAAGAGCACTTTGAAGCGGCAGAGCGCTGTCAAAGGCTATTGTTCAGCATCACTAGCCCCAGCTCCCTCGGTCGGCGACTATCCGTCATCATGGAGGAATACCGTCTTGAGGTCATAAACCAGGTCCAGCAAAGCTCTCACTCGCATACCAGCAAGTCCATGTCGCTGTCGGAAACTGCGCTTGAGCCGGGTGCAACATCGTGGCTCGAAAGTATTGGGACTGACGACAATCTCTTTGAGTTGATGGATCTGCCTAACTGGGAACAATTGGATTCACTGGTAAGTGACCTGTGTTATATAACATCCGAGATAACATATAACCTGACAAAATTGACAAAGGTCCTTGATTTGGGCAGAATCATCCCCGAGCTGGACTTCATGGGCGCCAATGCTGGGTTCTGAAATTTGGGAGTAATTAGCCAAGCCTTTGCAGAAAGAACCCGTGGTCTTTTCCGAGGGCGATATCGGTGTTCGGGCGCATCTTGGCTGATCTGTTTCGCTACTTTAGTGAGAATCATGTGGGAATGACTTGGTGTGGGGGGGATCTCAACGCCAGCGCCTCTCACAATCCAAATATTCCTATCGCAATACATCAAGCTGAACGTGGGTACATCCATCTCCGAGGCGCGATCACAAGTCTAACTTTAATCAGATGGCGCGGCAGGAACAGATTATCAGTGCTGTCGAGCCACTTCATGTAGGCCAGTTCATGTTTTGTCGTATCACGACGACTGAAGGCATCATTGGCTATGGAGAGGCTGGGATTTGGGGTGACATAGAAGCAGCCGCGACATGCATTAAAAGGTTCACCGAGTATCTAGTCGGCAAGCGGGCCTTCGATATCGAACACCACTGGAACGTGATGCATCGCTTCAGCTACTTCCAGGGGCTTGCCATCAACGCCGCAATCTCCGCCATTGACATCGCTCTTTGGGACATCAAGGGTAAGGTTCTGAGTGTTCCCATCTATGAACTTCTCGGGGGAGCCTGCCGCATGAAAGCTCGGATTTATGGACACATCTATGAGAGTACCATCGAGAAGGTACTTGAAGAGTGCAAGCGAAAGATGGACATGGGGTTTACCGCCTTCGGCCATATCAGCCCCTTTCTCGACAAGGGAACCGACAAGGTTTACTTTAAGACACATGTTCAGAAGATGCGAGATGCCATCGAAAATTTGCGAAAGATGCGGGAGGTTGTGGGAGACAAGGTTGACTTGCTCGTCGAGCTGCATCGTCGTCTAACCCCGGCAGAAGCAGTCACTTTCTGCAACGGCATCGCCGACACACTCCCGATGCTCGTTGAAGACCCTATTAGACCCGAGAATGCCGATGCCATGGCTCGTGTGGCCGAACGCATCTCCGTCCCGATTGCCACGGGAGAGCGTTTCTGCACCATCTACGAGTTTCAAGCACTGCTGGCCCGAAACGCTCTGGAGTACGCGAGGGTGGATGTTGCTGTTTGTGGCGGAATTACCGGAGCAAAGAAGGTGGCAGCAATGGCCGAAGCCAACCATGTTCAGATCATTCCGCATAACCCGCTCTCGCCGATAGGACTTGCGGCATGTTTACAAGTTGCCGCGGCGATTCCCAACTTTGCGATACAGGAGTATGCTACGGGATTCGCGGCTGGGGCATTCGAGAGCACTTCGAAACATCTTGGCAGCGACATTGTTGATCATGTTCCCACGCCTAAGGAGGGCTTTGTTGACATTCCATCTACCCCCGGTCTCGGAATCAACTTGGTGGCGAACGCACAGGAGATCAGACCACCGTTGGTCCACCCTGTACGGATGAGACCCCACAAAGATGGATTCGTTGTCGATCGATAGGTCCAGCAAATGACCCAATAGTCCTCATAGAACCTCCTCGCTCGATTCGTCTTCCTTGAAATCCTTGAATCGTTTTCAGGCAAACGCAGTATCTGAAGGTAGTCATAATTCCGAGCTCTATAAACATATTCCTGACATAACATGCTCTGAGGGACAATTCCTATCCCAAACGTACGCCTTTGACCTGCGATACTACGTTCTTTTCCAAGTCAAAGAATACTCCACGCCCTCTGGTCAAGCTAGTTAATCTCTGGAAACTTCATACCGCCCTTTGTTTTGTCTCATCTCAAAGACTAGTGGCGTCTTCCCTCCTGGTACTGCGCCCAGGATCGAAGGATGCTTCGAGCCTGAAGCAAGGCGTTCTCTTGCCGCAGGCGCTGGATCTCAGCGTGCTGCCGGCGCATCGCCTGTTGGTCCGGGCGATCATAATCTCTTGGACACGGATGGTACGTTCATCGGCGTTCAGCCATCTCTGATAATCCCAGACTGTGTCCTCGAGCTCATCGCAATGATTGGCAAGCTTATCATTTTCCTTCAGCAGGTCGTCGTTCTCCTCGTCCAGATCGTCGTATTCCTCCTGCAAACCCTGAAGTTTCTGGTCTCTCTCCTAGAGAGCCTCTGTCAGGGATTGCTTCTCGGAGTTCAGAGCATGCTTCTCGGCGACCAAAACATGGATGCACTTCATGTTGTCGGGAGAGACCGGGGGCTGGTGTTTGTTTTGTTTGTTTGTTTGTTTGGTATTTAACGCCGTGGCGGCAAGGGCGCAGACGCCCTTGCGGCAGACCTCCCGAAGGGTATATGGCGTGGAGGGCCGCAGATTCTAGCTGTATACTCTAAGCACATGCCGCTTCTTAGCGTCCTCCAAGTCTTGCCCGTAGGCTACTATGTGTTCTATCCTTCCCTAGTTCCCACTGGTGCCCTAGTTCCGTTGTAATAACCTTATTACCTAGTAGTGGTAGTTTGTTGCTTAGAGAGTAGGCTACAGCCTATCTCTCAGTACCGCGGGCAGATCTTCTGGAAGAAGTCTGTCACGCTGATGAAAGCCTGGAAGCCTTCTGAGTCGATGATTAGCCCCTTAAAGTAACGCTCTAGAGAACCCATAGGTCCTAGAGGCTCCCGTCGACTATAAGGGTGAAGGGTGGGCCACCGTTGCCTCCTCACTAGCGTCTTTCGGCAGTAGACCAGGTGGTCCACCTCCTTAGCTTCTCCGCAGGAGCAGGTGAGTAGTGCTTCTGTGTGGTTAAAGCGTTGATGATACTGTTCAAAGTCCCCGTGGCCTGATCGAGCTGCTAGGAGATGATGAAGGATAGCTCTTGGTAGGGCTAATTCAGGAGGGCAGCCAAGGGTGGCCTTAAGCCCTAGCTGGGTATACCGGGGGGTTGCCTCTCGCTTCCACCATTTCCTATGCTGGCGTTGTTTACGTTCTTTAGCAAGCCGCCTAATCCCTGATAGGGTCGGCAGTAGGCCCCTAGGGACTGGCAGGGTTGTGCCCTCCTTAGCTAGGTTATCTGCTTCCTCGTTTCCTCTGATACCTTGGTGCCCTGGAGACCAATGGGTTTGTATGTTGTGTATCCTGGCTGCTGCCTGAATCTCTAAGAAGGCAGCTTGTGAGGAGTCCGGGATGTTGCCGCGTATCCCCTGGATGACGCTGGTGTTATCAATACAGATGTGTATAGGCTGGCCTTGGGAGGTAAGGAGGGCCCTTTGGAGCCCTGCCCTCGCCCCCTCTGCCTCGCCATCGAATACTTCTGCAATGCTGAGACGGCCACACCCTTGGGCTATCCGTTTATTGCCGCGGTAGATGACAAAGCCGAACCCTGTAGCCCCATCAGGGGCTTTAGAGCCGTCTGAGTAGATAATTGTGTGGTTATCTGGCACAGTCTTAACACAGTCCTGAAACGCTTTAGCTGCCTTCTCCTTGCTCTGGCTAGCTGTAGGGTCTTGTGATCCCGAGAGATGCTGTGGCTGTAGGAGCAACGGCCTTGAGCATTTCGGTAGGAGGGCTGCTGTTCTTTGTAACCTTGTTTGCTGCCGTCCTAGCTGTGAAAGCCTAGGGACTAAGGGGTGCTGTTGGTCAACCTTCTGTAGGCGCGTGGCAAAGCATAAGCGTGCTGCCTCAAGAGCTACTTTTGCTGTAGGCAGGCCAGCATCTCGGAGAAGGCTGCTGGTTGGGGTGGTCCTCCAGACAGGCAGGATAGCCCTTGCTGCTGCTGTGATAACCTTTCCAACACTCTTAACCAGGCCCTTCTGTCCTGTACTGACAGTAGCTACCTGGTTGGTAGCACTGCTGCTAGCGGTAGTAGTGCCACTGTTCCTGGCTGGTCTACTTAAACCTGCATACCAGGTCTCAGCTCCATACAGGGCTGTTGGGAGGACACAGGCAATAACAGCTTGGCGGGCAGCAGCAGCTGGGAGCCCCCCTTTGGTGTTTGACAGGTGCTGTAGGAACTGGGCTGCCTTCCTTGCTGCTGCTACCTTTATATCGACGTGGTGCCGGAAGGTAAGTCTTTTGTCGAACCAGACCCCTAGCCAACGTATAGGCTTAGTTGAGGCCTTAATAGTTAGGTCTCTTGCTTGTATGTCTGGTAGATCTCTTGTCTGGTTATGTTTCCTGCTAAAGTGGATTGCTTCACACTTAGCTGGGTCGAACGCAACCTTATTATCAGTGCCCCAGTTGAGGATCCGAGTTATCTCCTGGCCAAGGGCTGCAGTGTTTCCCTCCAGGGAAGGGCTAGTAGCCAGCAGGCCTATATCATCCGCATAGCCAAACCGTAGCTTCTGATCGTCAGCTAGGATGTCTGCTATATACAGCAGAAAGAGTATAGGGGATAGCGGGGAGCCTTGTGGCAGCCCACAGGATAGGGGAAAGTCCTCTGTAGTAGTGTCCTCGAGCCTAACTCGAGCTGTGCGACTCAACGTGAAGGTGAAGATCAGCCTAATCAGACTACTAGGCCAGCCCTGCTGTCGTAGCCTAAGGATAAGTCGGTTTCGCAGCACGGAATCAAACGCCCCCTTAACATCCATTGTTGCCAGGGTGGCAGTGAGTCCTAAGTCCAGAGCTCTCTCGATCTCATGGGCTAGGCAGGTTGTCAGGTCGACTGCAGCCCTCCCTGGTAATGCCCCAACCTGCTGTGGGCTGGCAACCCCTTCCAAAATAGTAAGGTATGCCATCCTCTTTGCTATCAGCCGCTCTAAGCCCTTGCCTAAGCAGGATAAGAGGGCTATTGGACGCCAAGATCCCACCTTTGAGAAGTCTGATTTTCCCGGCTTCTGGATCATAACTACCTCTGCTTTGCGGAAGGTCCTAGGGAAGTAGCCTATCTGAACGCAGGCCTGAAAGAGCTGCTGTATAGGAACACCTATCAGGCCCCAAATGGATTGTAGTAACTTTGTAGTAATCCCATCAATCCCAGGGGTTGTAGCCTTTGTGAGAGTTGCCTGGCGTACTTCCTCAATGTTGACTATCTGCTGCCAGGGTATTAGACGCCTTGGAACTATAGGAATAGCAAATAGGTTCCCATGGAAGTCGTCTGTAGCGTCAAATCTCTCTAGTAGGGCCTTCCGTAAGGCTTGGGCTTTATCATAGGAGTTGTTGATTACCTGTCCATCTACTATAAGAGGCGGGGCCCTTACAGCTAGACCAGACTTACGCCAGCTTAGTATCTGATATAGGTTCTGGTTAGACCTAGCCTCCTTAATCTTAGTAGCCCAGTAGGCACGTTTTGCCTTCCTAACTGTGGTCAGAAAGGCCTTCTGCTCCTCAAGGATAGGCGGCGGTAAGACAAGCCCAGGTTCCTGGGCTTGTCGTTGTCTAGCCTTAATAGCTGCATGGTGGGCCTCTGAACACACCTCTGTCCACCAGGGGGCTCCCCTGCCCTGGTTATTCCGTCTCTTTCCTACAGCCTGAGTAGCTGTAGAGAGGAGGCTGACTAGTTGGGTAGCTAGGGTATCTATTTCTGCTGGAGTAGGTGTATCCCCTAAGGTGGGTAGGGCTGGGATCCCCATCTTTACCAAATCAGCAAGTCGAAGGAGGGCTGAGTCTGGGACTGAGAGGTGACCAGTCTGGCGTCTCTGCTCCTGGATCTTGCCTAGTGGGATAATAGTTGTAATAGCCTGGTGGTCAGCCCCCGGATGTAGGTGTGGGCTGATATAGGCCTCTGCGAAGGGGATATTTGAGAAGGTAAGGTCGAGTGTATGCCTGTGAGTATGGGTAGAGGCCCCAACTTCCCCAATAAACTCAAGATTACCCCCTTCAGCCCATTCTGCGATATCATCCCCTTGATTCCGGCTTAGAGAGCCAGGTTCCCAAGAAGAGTGGCGGGCATTGAGATCCCCAGCAATAAGGGCTCTTTCTGGCGGTCGATAGTTTAGGAGGATGTTTGTTGTTGTATGGTTTGCAGGTTCACCTGGTGGCCTGTAGATGTTCATAATAGTAACATCGCCAGCCTTGATCCATAGGATGTCCCTTGATTGGGTTGGTCTTTGTTGCTGTATTTGTAGCCTTAGACTCTTCCGTATATAGGTCATAACCCTAGGCCTTATGTCTCTGCTGTTCCAGAAGTCAACTGGCACATAAGAGTTATAGCCTGGGTGTGTGTTGATTTGCAGCTTATCTCTATAGCCTATCCAGGGCTCCTGGATTAGTACTATATCGATCTGATCTGCCCAGCAGAGCTCTAGGAAAGCTGTATGAGCTGGGCTTTTCTTCCCCACGTTACACTGGGCGACCCGTAGTACCTGTGGGGTAGCCGTTCTGAGCCTACTGCTCTGAGTCGAGGTCGAGGTGGGTGTAGGCATTAACAACGTTATAGTCAGGCTTCTGAGCTACCCGCTGGGCCCTGCTGCTTGAGGCAGCTGGGATATGCTGGGTGGGTAGTGGTGGTAGGATAGGGTTGTTATCAGAGACTTCTGCTTCAGCCTCATTCTCATCCTCATCCATACTGCTAGAGCTTGCTGTATCGCTAACGTCCGCTACAATAATTGAGTCCTGGGTAGGGGTAGGGGCGCGTGGTCGCTTCGAGCCAGGCTGAGGGCTTGTCAGGCTGCTGCTAGGCTGCTGGTTGCAGGTGGCTTGGCTACCTGCCTGGCTGCTCTGATAGAGGGCCTCGTAGGCCTTCTGTCCAGCCTTTCGGATCCGGGAGAGTTCCTTCCGACCTGGAAGGGTAGGGGAGCTGTTCACCACCAGGGGCCTTGCTGGGCAGTCCTTGTGGTTAGCTTGGAAGGGGCCGGCGCAGTTAGCGCACTTCGGTCTAGCTGTGCAGGGCCAGGTCTCATGGGAGCCTGAGGGCCTGCTGCAGTTGCCACAGAGCGGCTGTCGGTTACAGTATCGGTTCGAATGGTATCCCTGGCAGCCAGGGTCATGTCTGATGAGGGTCTTTTTCTTCCGAATAAGCTGAGACCGGCTGCTTTGGTTAAAAAGTCTAAAGGGCGGCACCTCCATAGAGAAGGAGATAATCCAGGAGACCTCGTTTGTAATAGGGTTTACACCTAGGCGGGACTGTTAGGCCCGGGTGGGCTTAAGCCCTGTTTGGGCGAGGACCTCGTCTTCAACCAGAGCAGCTGGGTCAAGGGCATCGCCTTCAAGAGTCCACATCTTAGCAGGGCAGCGTGGGACGACATAAGTAAACCACTTAGTAGGGGACTCAACCTTATAAGCTCCCAGACTATCAGCGAGTTTCTGCTTGTTTGTAAGGAGGGCTTGCTGGACCTGCTTATTCAGGGGTCTCAGCGAGTAGCCAGTTGTAATGTGGTAGATATGTGGGATATCTGCCAGCTGGAGGCTAAGGGCCTGGCAGACTTTCCGACGAAGGGCAAAAGGGGCGTGCTTCCTAGCAGCTGTTAAACCCTCCTCAGGGATGCGGGCAAAGACCCGGAGGTCCTCCTGTGGCTGGGTTAGAGTCTGAGTCTGGGCCTGGGGCTGGATTGGGTTCCGGGTGCGGGCTGGGGCTGGGGCTGGGGCTGCAGCTGCAGTTGCAGCCGAGGCCGCCACGTCAGCCCAGTTCCGGCTTGGGTTCGGGGCTGCAGACTCATTCCACATAATCCTCTTCAAGGCTTGGATCACATAGGTTGTAGCCTCCTTCGCGATCTGCTTCCTAGGTCCCTCAAAGCAAGAGACCACGTTATCCACAGACTGGGCGATAGCCATAAAGACATCCTTTCGGGCTTCATAGTGCTTAGCCTCTTCGTTAAGGGCTGTAAGGATAGCTCCAGCAGCTATCCCATTCACGGTTGAGGGCCCCTTAGCCGTTAAGGGGGTTGTCGTAGAGGCGTCAGGCTGGCTTCCCGCGAGGCTGGGCTGGGATAGCTGGGCCTCGGTACCGCGGCGGCGTTTAGCCCTTGAGGTTGGGGACGGCTCCAGAGGGGCTCTGGAGCCTCGATCAGGGCCGGCCGAGGAGGCCGGCAAAGGTCCAGAGCCCGCCGGAGGCTGCGAGGCCATCGCGGGAGGGCGCTGGAGGCGAGAGGTGAAGGGTTTTCAGCTGTTAAGGAATTTTGGTAGTCTCCCACATATTACACTAACAGTGGATGCCAAGAAAAATTAGGCGAGAGGGAAGTCCTCGACCGGGGGCTGGTGTGGCATAACAGCGGCGGCGTCAGGGATGGTGGGATCGTACTCTGGCTTGACGACTGGACAGCTTGTCAGCACCTCGGTAGCAAAGAAGCGAAAGTAGACAGCAGTCACGTCGACGACGACGGCGGCAACGTGGGGAAATTCAGGCTTCTTACCAAGCTTCTCGTCGCCCAAGTCATTACCCATATCTCGCCCGGAGTCCAGGACCGATTGTTGTTCATCTTCTCGATGACAGCCGCGGCGGCGTCAAGAATCTCGGTGCCACGGCGCCCAACGATCAGCATGCGATCATTGCACGAAAGGCTGGTCTCCTTCTTGCTGTTATTGATTCCACAGAGCATGAACATGAAGCAAGGGTGGGAGTGACGAGGTACGAGGGGCTTGTGACGACTTCCGGCAACGGCGAGACCGGGCGTCGTTCTGACGGTCTTAAACCAAGGCGCACATGCTTTGGTCTGGTGATTTCGAGGTCTTCCCATCTTGGTCGGACTGATGACGGATATGTCGGTGGTGCTGGGAGCGATTTTGTGATGATCGCCAAGCGGGCGCTGGAGTCGTGTTTTTGAAAGGATGGCGCGGGAAAAGAAAAGAGAGAAAGAATGAATGAGGTAGCTGTGAGTGAGTGAAGTTGGTCGTGTGAGCTGAAAAGTGGGACCACGGAGCGACAGATTCTTGCTCGCTCGAGCGTCTGGAGGGTAGGAATATCACATGAGTGAATCTGTGAGCCTACAAGAAACTTAGTCAAGATAAGCCAATCTTCCTCTCAATTCACCAAAAAAACTTTTATATGACGAGGCCAAAGAAGTAGAAATGCGCCGTCAATTTGAGCTAAATATGTCCGGGTGGAAAAAATGAGGGACGATACGATGATTTGAACAGACGAACTACAAAAAGGGTCTGCGAGAGGGTAGAATGCCGAAGTGCAGAAAGGGGGCCAGCCTTAACCACTACGCCAAACTCACTCAAATCATCGACCGGAACCTTGTGGCAGAACGGGCAAGGCAACTGCCCTAAATACCCATCCCGTGATCCGAGGTTGCTCGAAGGCAAGATGAGAGGTGAAAGGGATGCCCCACAATTGACCACCCGCGACAGCTCGCTTGATGTTCGGCCTGAGGACGACGCATCATGCGGCCGCATTCTCCTCGGGAGTCTCTTTGAAAATGGAAACATTATTGTTGAAAGACCTACCGAATCTACTCAGAGAATCTCAGTATTCAATGGTGTCGCACTATTATCGTCCGACGCCGAGAACCTGGACCCATCAAATCGGGATATCGGCATCACACGATGACAACAACAACGACGCCGACAACAGATATGGTAACTGGCGAACATGAATAGAGGCCGAAGGGACTCCCTTCCTGGCGACATGTGTTATATTGGAACGTTATGTTTGTACAAAGAGAACACTAGCGGCCAGAAGACCGTCGTGCTCAGCCCCAAAAGGAGGCTGCCCAATCTCTTGCCGATTTGACCCAGTTGCGAGGTCTTCTTGAGTCGTCCTCCTCCGCAATCTTGCTGTTTTCGGCCAAGCTGTGTTGAAGCTTTCGATTCTCAGCCTCCAGCATCGCAATACGCTGCTCATAACCAGAGGTCAAAGACTCGACCTGGTTGGATGCTCCAGTATCTTCCGCCTTAACCTGACGAATCTTGTTAGGCGGCTCCACATCTTCGTCTGACTGGCTTGTCTCATCATGCGACCTCTTCGGAGGCCTCTGAGGTTTCTCATCAGTCGTAACTGTGTTGTTTCACTTTAGTATCATGTACATTGGCAGCATCTTCGCGAGGACTTACCGGCTTCTCTCGATTCGTGGGTGGCATTGAGGTCATGCCCTGGCTGAATCCAAACCGAAGCTTCAATCCATCTGTCAAGACTAGCCAAGAAAGGGCGGAACCCCTTTGGAAGCTTTATCGGGCGCTGGCCACGGAGGTGACCGCGACGCAGATCACTCCTCCTCAGGAACAGGTTGCGGGCTCCCACAAGCCGGGTCATGCACTTGGAAACATCCTCCACTGTGACAGCGACCCACCGCTCCCTGCCAGTCCTTGTCGTCAACCGCTGCATGGCTTCCCGAAGAACCTCGTTCCATTGACCAACGCCGCGAGACTCTGTGACGACCTCCACACAGACATCCGTGAATTTCTTGATATTAGCGACAAGAAGAAGCTTGTTGCTATGAGACGGGAGGGCTGGGCCATCGAAGAACATTTGCCAACCAGCCTGGCCAACTCGAGTTACAGGATCGCCGATCTCTCCTGGGAAGCGAAGACCTGGCAGCCTGCGCAGGTCAGGATGGCTCGCATAGTAGTTGACAGGGTCAGTTTGCTCTTTGAATATCTCTTGTTGAAGCATGAAGAAGTCCTCATCCAACTCTTCGTGCTCCGGAGTTCGGCTGGAAGGATCGCTTGGCTCGTTGAGTATCCCTTCATCGAGCCTTACCCAGTCCTCAACATACTGTTCATCGTCCTGAATTTGGCTCATAGGGACAACCTCGATTGCTTGCAAGTAATCCACCTTGTCGGTTTGCTGAGTATTGACATCAGTCATCCTGCAAGCCGTTAGCGGGTTTGTTAGGAGAAACATTTGAAAAGAGACTTGGCAATACTTAGCGGCTTCAGCGGGGGACGGCGATTACCGAAGACAATCACGGATGTTGAAAAAAGGTGAGGATAGGTAATGGGACAACAACTTCTGAATTCAGAGCGAAGAAATAGTCGATAGATGTTGCACACAAGGGTCTACGGAAAAGCTTGCTCTTCTGGCCCAGAGATGTTGCGAAGTCTAATAGGAACTCAAAAAAACGTGGGGAGTGGCCAGTAAGGTAAAAGTCCTCAATGGTCTCGGATCCCAGTAGCAGGGTTCAGAAACGGTCGATCAAGGTGGGTAGGTAGCCATCAGACTCCTTGCCCTTCTGAGAAAGCTTCTGACACTGAGAAGGCACTCCAAAAGCTTCACGCCTGCCTGGAAAGGCGCTCCGAATAGCGAACGCAGTCTGGTCAGAGGAAGGAGCAAGCTCATTGCGGTGATTACATAGGCGGAAACCAGCGATGTAGCGCAAGCCGAGATATGTCTTCCAATTATACTTCATGATAAGGAAAAAAGTTCCTGGGAGCCGCGAGTCATCTAAACCTTCAGAAGACCAACTTGAAAAGCCAAGATCGATCCCTCCGTCCCAAGATACAGACCATGACCATTTCAGATGGTATCAAGCTTCGAACGCCTAAGGCCAATCATTCAAGAGTCCTTTCCGAGATCCAAGCTGCAAAGATAAATCCCTGCATCATTTGCACCCCAAGAGAGGCCCTCCATACCGTTGGCCTCCAAACCACTGTTCAACTGGCGACGGTGGGCTTCCCAAAGCTTCCAAAAGGCTTCCTGGACCATGCAGAGATCCTTCTCCTTGGCCTGAAGGGACAATCTCGTGCGTGTCTTCAGTGTTTGTTCGGTGATAAAGCGGGTCTGTAGTTGACGGTTTTCCTTTTCGAGGCGCTCAATCCTGCTCGACATGACGTTGCATCTTACCTTATATTTGCCCAGAACATCCTCCTTTGCTTCAGCGCAGTCTAGTTCGTCTTCTTTGATGACCGGCGTCAGAGGAATGGTGGAGTCTCTGGGGTATCTGTACGTCAATCCCTGCACCAGAAGGGGATGAAGCGCCTGTCTGCTCTGCGGGACGACAGGCTGGATTGAGCAGGCTGGGATGGGTCCTTGTACAGGCTCTCCTATCTCTGCAACATCGGCCGATTCCGAGGTTGATGGAGTAAAGATGTCGTCTGAGGATGCCTCGCTGGCGGGGGACTCTGCGTTCATTTCTTCGAAAATGTTAGTGGATGAAATTCAGCAGACTAAGATTGGAAACCTACCGTCAAGCAAGAATCCGTAATTAGATCCGTCAACGAGCATATTAGGACGATCTCGTGAAAGCAAGCTTGTAATGTCCACAACCTGTCCGAGGCCTCCATATGCGGGCGCTGGGCCACTCCCCATCCTTTCCACGAAGGCATTCCGAGCAAGGACGAGTGTATTCACGATTCCAAAGGCGAAATGGAGTCTGTCAACCACGGGATAGCTCTCATAAACTCGCCCGATGTTGGAGTAGAGCGAGTGCGCGATTAGTGACTGATCAACATCGGAAGCGAAATCAGCGACGAAGACCCCCTTTGAGAGCCTGCCCAGCTCCTGATTAACGACGTTGAAGTAATACATCATCTTTAATTCAACGCCCCCCTGGGTGTCGAGAGCAGAATCATCGAAGAAAATTCCGAATAACTCCAGGCTGCGTCCACGGAATAGGCCTTTCCACTTGTCGTTCTTTGGAAACCTCAGGCCTGACAGGGCGTGAATGTATGGATGATCGGCCCATTTGAGCTTCTCAACTGTCGATGTTTCGGGCATGACGGGTAGGAGCTTGGGCGAGCGGTGTACGAAGACTGTAGTGATTTTCGGAGAGGGCGGGAAAAGGGATGTCAATACTGCAGCCTTTCCATCTCGTACCCCAGCGTCATCAGGGTCTCTACGCGAAGATTTGCGGTCTGCGGGAGCGACGGCAATGTGGTATATAAGCTCGTTTGTTGACCCTCAAGGTTGCCCCAAATCGCCAGAACAACGCCATTTGACCTGGATGGCAAAACAACACCAAGTTGCTGAGTGCCACCACAACCTAAATCAGCCCGGCTGGAGACGTCAGCACAACCATCGCAGCGCAACATGCCTGACAGACCAGTCGACGAGGTTCTCTCTCATCCTGTCGAGCGTCGAGCACAAAGCCCAGAATGCCATCACCTCTTATCAACGGAAGCAAAGCAATCCATGACAAAGGTTTCCCTGAAGCTGCCTTTGCCATTGTAGTCGCCAAAGCCTGCCATCGTATGCGGGGTGAGGATGCACCAAGGATCAGAGTCCTCTTCTACCCCCGTCATGAAGAATCTCATAGCCCGCCCACGCAGCTTTTCCCTTAGCCAGTACTCCATCCTTGCCTTCGTGTACACCCACGAGACCATCTCCGGGGCCGTCAGCCCGTTGGACAGGACCTTCGGGATCAAGTAGTCGAGGATCGTTCTGGCGAAATTGGTGCTCTCGACCAGGAGAGCCACCCAGCGGACGAGAACGTCGATGCGAAGGACCGTGAACTGCTGCTTCTGAAGCACGTTCATACCGCAGATGATGCCGAGGGCTACTTTGCCCCACGCCTCCGTCGCGGCTGCTGAGACAGAGGGATCGTAGACCGAGCGGAGGTTACTGATGCTCATCCGGGAGATCAGGTACAACAAGTAGTCCATGGCCTTCGTGTTGTCGGTAAATCGGTACGTGATGACGGGCTCAAAGGTGGGACCGGTAATGGTGTCCCCGTCGGCGCCGACTCGGACGATAGGTAGGTCGCAGTCGCGCAGGCCTTTGTGCCATGAGTCGAGGTGCTTTGAGAAGGTATCGCACTGTTCCAGCACTTTTTCCGACGTCAGATCCTCCTTGTAAAAGTCGCCCCTCTGAAAGTTGCGGTGGTCGGACTTTCTGTTGAGCACGGAGCAAAGCCATCTGGCTGCCCTCTCAGAAGCGCTTGATCCCTCAATAGTGTTGTCATTGACGAAGCTGGCCTCCATAGCGTTTCTCGAGTAAAGGCTGAAGACTCTGGACATGACATCTCGGATCGCCAACTGAGGGTCGAGGAAGCTTGCACTGTCGTAATTGTCGACAGGGTTGCTTGACTTGCGGGTCGGTGTATACGTGTATCGAATGTCGTAGCGGAGCATCCGCCATGCTTTGAAGAGATTTGGCATTGATGATGCGGCAAAGTCCATTTTCGAGGCGATGGCGTCGAGACCGCTGGCGTGGTTCCTGAGGCCAAAAGCCGTGCCCGCTTCCAATTCGTGGTACGCTAGAAGGAGGGCTGCGCCGGCCAGCTCCTCGCTGCTCTTGTTGGATCGCTGTATTTGCAGCTGAAGGTCCTTCACCGCTGTGTCGTAGTAGACCCAGACGCATTTGTCGTCACATATCCGCCGCAGGCTCTGAAAGTCCATCGGTAACCGCTCTGCCAATTTCAGATGGCTCGCGGACAACGCCAGGACTGCCGCTCGAAAACAGCTGCTCGATTGGAACAGGTTCGAGAAGGCTAGCGCGACGGGGATTGCGGGAATGACGTTTGTATCGAAATGCTGTACAAGCGACTCTTCGAGGGGTAGCGAGATCTGGAGGTCAGTGGTGGGTTCGCCCAGAGGGGACTCCTCGGCAGATGATGTGTCGAGTGGCGAGTCGTGAGAGACGAGGAACTCGTCCCAGTTGGCAGGTGTCAAAGCCTCTGGTGAACTTTGCCGCGGCGAAGTAGTATCGTCGGAGGCACGCCCAGGCAGCGGAGTCGAAAGGCTTTCGATGACGGTACCCAGCACAGGAGCGACCTCAGGGAATACCTGCGACGGCGCATTGTTGGGGATATCGAAAAGACCCCAGGGCAGCGCAAACGCGCCTCCAGACCAGGCTTCAGTCGACATGAAGTTGGTAGACGGCGCCGGCACCGGAGCAGACGGGGCCTGAGCGCTGAGCGCCGGTCCGATGATGATGTCGGGGCGAACGACTTCGGACGACGCCGTATCCGTGGCCGTCATGCGACGCTTTCTCCGCGCATCCTCATGTCGCAGCGCCGACCACCGAGCAGCCTCAAACTTTCGTGATGACTCTGCGGCCAAGGCCGTCACGTCTTTGAAGGCGACGGGGCGATCATAGCCGCTGCACTTTATGCCGCGACGGACGCAGGCGGAGCACTCGGGGCGCGTCTCGTCACACTGCAACAGGTCAGCCCGCGGTCGTTTGCAAGAGATGGGCGTGTACTAACCTTGCGTCGCCTTGTTTTGCAGTTTTGGCATCCGGTCCGTTTTCGGACGATGTCTGTCTTCTTGGGTCGTGACGATTGCGTCTCCATTGGCGGTCGACCAACAGCTGTGTCACCGCTCAGCGCAAAGGGGTTTTGCTATCGAGTGCTAGAAAGCTGTCGTTCAGTAATGCGTAGCGGGGTTGAGGGGAAGGAAGCTGTCGATACTGAAGACGGGACATAAGACGAGACATGAGGCCGTTTCGATCTGTTGGGGAGGATGGTTGGCATTTTGGTCGGTAAGCCGGCAGGCAGATTGTGCCGATGGCGGTAATCTGACTGACATGACGGGATCCAGGATGGCGGCGTCGGGCGAGATGCTCGTGGAGGGCGCAGCGACACTGAACTAGTGGGGGCACAAAATCCCCACAATGCTGACCTTACGTTGTCGCGGTTGGCTGCAGATAGCGGCGACAGAATGGCACCATGCCTAAATAGGCTCGCCAGTGCGACGCTACTCCTTTTTTGGCAGAGCTGTCCGCTGCTTTTCAGCGTTGCGCATGAGAACCGGGAGGCGTGATTTTCAATCGTGACTCTCGGTTCTTTTAAGACTACCTCATTTGCCTGCATCTTTGCAGTCATACTTTCTGCTTACTGAGTATCCGAAGCCTCGAAGCTTTTGCTTCGATGAAGGAGTGAAAGTTATTAGAGACGACAATGGCAGACGACAATGGGAGACGACGGCGGCGGCAGCGACAAGAATGATGGCGGACGACGATGAGCTTGGAGTTTTCAAAGTATGAACGCGCTGTATTGTCTACCTTGAGTCTAAACTTCCTGGGACCCTGACACCCTGTCACGTTGTCTGAACCAACCGTGACGCGTCGCAGCAATCGATTCTTCCACGGTGAACGTAGCGCCATGTTCATGGATGAGCGACTCTACGAGTTCATAGGCCTTGGATTCGGCGTCTGGGTTGGCCTGCCTGATGAATGCGTCCTTTAGTAAATAGCTATACGCGCAGCTGACTCCTGGCTCGTCTCCGGAGCCAAGGTGCAAGACGTTCTGGTACGTCTGGTTGACATTGAGTCCATACTCGATGCAGGTTGAAATCACCTCCATCGCTCGTTCCAGTTTACTGCTGGGTAAAGGGAATAGGTTGCCAGCAATGAAGGCATGGAAGTGTATGCTCTGCCGAGTGATGACTGTTTCGTATGCAAATCCAGCACCCCTTTCCAAAAGCGTGCGTAGAAGATCTATTCGGCCGTGGTACGCTGCGGCCTCAATGGGCGTCTGGAACGGAGGGGGTCCTGAATCACGCCTGAAGAAGGGTATTCTCGCTGAATATTCCGGATATGAGCCATCTGGCAGTGATCCTGCTTGTAAAAGCGCTGAAAGGCCGTCGACGGTTATGCCCCTTTCAATGTGCTAGGTAAGAAGAGGCTCAGACGTTGTCGTTTTCTGATCGTCGATTGGCAACCCTGGGTCTATCTGTAGAAGAGCTCGTATCATTTCGCTACTGCTCGCAAGATGGAATAAGGTAATCTGTTCATCACGATCGAAGAACCGCATGAATCGGTGCCATGGTGTCTGCTCTTCAACGAGAAGATCCAGAAGCTCCACGTGGTCGTTTTGGACAGCGTGTTGTACCAGGGTTGGCTGTAGTACATAATCGCGTATTACATCATTGAACCCGCAGGAATGGGTTACTTCGCAGTTGCATTGAATGATTGGATGGCGGAGCCGAATCTGTGGAAGTCGGGATTCGATATCGTCGATCTTATAACCACGCCTCAATAGGTGTCGGGCGAAATCGACGTCGCCTTTGTGTATGAAAGCCCAAGACACCGCTCGATCGAGGCCACGGGCCAGATCGAAGTTGATAAGAATGCTGGCCGTGGGGATTATTGGGCTACTTTTGTCGCTGTTCATGAGTCCTCCTTGAATTGCTAGCGCTGAGCAGGTCCGATGCAGACCTGATATGTCAGGAAGATTGAGGTGGTCGCAGATAAGAAAAAGACAGTCTTTTGCCAATGTGGTAATGTCGAGTCTCTGATGGGTTTCCCGTCGTGGCTGGCCGAGTGCGTAATCTACTTGCCTGTTAGAAACAACTTGCAGATGTTCGAAGCCTTTACGCACGGCTGCAATAAGAAAAGTGCACCATGGTGACAACCCGAGGTGCTCGATGTGTTGAATCTGATGCTCGACAGAAGGATATGTGACGCTGAATGCTACGGTGGTAAAGAATGGATTTGCGGATGTATGGAGGACGTGAACAGACCCGGGAATTGACGTCTGATGCGTGTGGTCTGAAGACTTCAAGCGAGTGGTCAAGGCATGAAGAAGGTTAAGTCGTCTTAGCATCGATTTTCGCTCCTACTTCCATACCCCATGTGCCTTTCGAGGCTGGCGGTAATTGCCTTTCTCTTACTCCCGCTCCTCGCCCCTGGCTCAGCGCCAACTTCCCTGTGGCGTCGCCGCCTTCCGCCTTTCGCTGTTGTTCGTCCCTCTACAATAGGTTGCTCGTGGCATCCACCACACCGACTGCGACTGCTTGAGATACCCAACTGCAGAAACTTCGACCGACAGACCGACACCTGCTTGGACATCGCGATCCTTCCGAATTCTCCCACTTGGCACGCTTTCAACTGCAATAAGGTAATCCGATCTTGGCAGGGAGCCGCACATAGCCCTGAGCAGGAGCATGGCGCTATTCCAAATCTCATCGGCCAAGGCAATCAGCCGCGCACCACGTTGCAGCACTGGCAGACACCAACCCGTCGGCGCATGCTCAAGGCAAGACCCCCATACCGTGAAACACTCCACAAGGGCTAACTTCGCAAGCTCTGCGCTCTTCCGGATGCGAGACGCATGTTGTCAAATTAGGCTCACGATCAGCGACGCCACAACCCCCACAGCCGTCGCCGACTGCATCTCCGCAGTGGAGAAAGTCCTCGGAGCCCAACTCTGACTCAGGCCGGACACTTGATGAGAGCGAGGGCCTCGCTAGAATTCGCCCATTCACTGAGAAATTGTCATGATCAACTTGAATGATTGGACCGGTCGCATCGTAGGTCGGGTGCCAAGACAAAAGCTTCGCGCGAAGGGGGGAAATTTTAGGCAGCCAACGTCGAGATGTAACCGAGTTGCGGCACAGCAAACAAGTTGAACAAGGGTTGCAGTCACCAACCGATAAATCAAAGCGATTGTTTGTTGTAGTTCAGCTGCTTTGCCGCAATCCACTGTTCATTTAAGAAAGCAACAGCCCGTTCTGCTCGGCTCTCCAGCCTGCTCTCTTTTCCCCTTACTGCGCTAATTTTCAAAGACTCCAAGGCATTCCTCAAAGACCGTCCCTCAAAGAACTCAAATCCCAGCAACCTATCCTATCCCTTCAATCATAAACAAAATGCAGCTACTCAAAGCCATCACCCTCACCTCGGCAATGCTGACAGCCGCCCTCGCCAAGATCGACCCCCTCCCAACCTCGACCGACGCCGAGTCATACCTCTCCGACCACCCAAGCCTCTCCACCGTCGCCACCGGCACGCAAGCAACCTCCCTCGTCAGCGCCATCTACAGCGTCGAGAAGAGCTGGAGGGACGAGGACATGTACACGACCATGTACTCGCACATGTGGTCAGCCGCCGCCAAGGCCATCAACAGCCCCGACGTGGTCGCATCGCTGGCCGTGACGGGCTGGTCATACTGGGACACCACCGAGCAGAACTGGTGGAAGGATAACATGCCGGACAAGGAGAACAAGTTTGTGTCGGAGTACATGTCGGATTGGGAAAGCGCGTACCAGAAGGTGATGGCAACCGCAACGGGGACTGGGTCCAAGGGCGCGGCGCCGCGGTGCACTGGAATGGCGATGGCTGGGGTTGCGGCTGGAGTGGCGGCGGGAGTCATGGTTGCGATGTGAGACGTACTTTTGAGAAATGGTTGACTGGTGTACTCCATAAGCGAATGTTCAAACATCATTTTCCAAATCATGTCGGAGAGAGCGATAGTAAGAATGACTAGCGTAACTAACTTGCCAAATAAGGCTGGATTGAGAAGAAAACTGGGCGCTGCCTCCGATCGGGCAGTCAATAAACCTGGATGTGGAAAATAACGCCAAACCCTCCTGCTGATTTCCTAAGAGTTCAAGATCTCCTCTCGGCGCTGGCCCTCAGCAAAGATGTCCTCCAGCTTTCTGGCTCCCTGACCGAAAAGAACGGGCTTCTCCTCCAAGATCAAGATGATCTTGTCCACCGTCTCTTGGAGCTTGAGCTTATCGACCAGAGCGCGGGCATCAAGAGCGCACTGCGCCTTGGTCTGGGTCTTGGCGGCTCCCGTGTCGGTGGGCTCAGCAAGGGTGGGCGGAGGAGGAGGGCGATTCTCAAACATGGTCCGGCTGTCGCACATCTTCTTCACGACACGAGCGACAGCCCTAGCCACGTCCAGGCCATGTTCCTTGTTGAGCCGAGTGGCGGTGCGGTCCTTTGAGAGGGCCTTCGTGAGTCTCTCGAGGAAGGGTTCGTCGGTGAAGTCCTTTGTCGGGTGCGCGCGTAGGACCTTAAAAACGGTTTCGACAAAGAATAACTGCCGGAAGATGAGGGAAGACTGAGAGAGAAGCTGGTCGAGCAGCTTCGCAGGCGCATCTTTGCCGAAGAAGGACCCATCAGCATCTCTGCAGCACTCCAGCTGGGACATGTCGATGAGACGCCAGCCTGGACAGAATTAGCTGACGTGTTGCGCGAAGTGTGAGTGCAAGTACGGCGAATAATACTTACTCATTTTGACAGAACGACAGTGACGGACGTCGGTGTGGGTAGGACGCAGGAGAGAAAGCGTGGCCGACTGATAGAAGTATCCCAGGAGGAGTGTCAACTGGGGACGAGAGGACCGTATCAACGCGGGACGAAGCTGAGGAGAGGTGTGACGAAAGTCGCGCTGAGGAATGGCGATAGGCTTGGGAAGATGGAAGTCGTTGCTCAGAGTTGGTAGCAATCGAGGACGTGGCGAACAAGGTTCCCACGTTAGCATTCTTGTGGAGAGAAAGAAAGAAGAGAGAGGCTTCGGGCAGCTCAGGAGTCGAGATTTATACTACAGATGCTGGAGAGCCGTGGACCCACGTGGGACATCTTCAATCTCACCTTAAGTTCGCCCGAATTCACCTTCAAGCCGTTGAGTGAACGAGCAGTAGGTCGGGCTTAGTTAGGGAAGGTAGGCTGTCCTACCGCCAGAAGACCTCACCTTCTGGTCGTCGCGACCCACACATTGGCGATCCACATTATGGTGAATGAAGCGAGACTGCGAAGAGCCAGCAGCCGCTCTAAGCGCCAAGCGCACGCCCGCCCTTCGGGCTGGGCTAAAAGTCAAACTGTCGACAAAATCTGTCAGAGTTCTAAGGTCTAGTGGTCACAGGATGCATCCGATTAGGGAAAGTCCTTCTAGATAACAGGCATGGCCTAGGGTCGAGCGTTTGATTCCCGCCTCAGGCGGCTTGGATTTGAAATACTAGTCCAAGGTCGAAGTGTGAAATCCTTCCTCTTTTGATTTCACCCCTGTCTTATGCAACTTAGCATATTACCTACACTTTAAGTTGTAATAGGCATACTTGAAGCATCATATCTAAAGAAGAGATTGAGTGAACATGAGCTCTGTAAGGCGTCGCTCCTACCTATCGACCTATTGCTATAGCGGAAGTTGAGGAGGCACTTCACAGGTGGCTCTGATCTCGCTTAATCTGGAGCGCAGCTCCTGAGGCTAAGCGCAGCGAGGGAGTCACACATCTCTTACCTCAACCACTAAAGCCAAGGCGCAAAAACGATATAAGAGAGCTCTTCGCTAACCGGCCGCAGCTTTAGGGCCCTTCGCGGATTAGCTAAGCGAACTGGAGCTAATGTGAGGTTATTCCAGTAGGGCAGGAGCTTTAGAGGGCAAGCGTGAGGGCAGGTGGGAGGGCTACGCTCCCGTAGTTGCGCTGAGAGAAAATTCAGCGGCGAAGGTCTGGGCTATCGAAGATAAGAAATATTTTTGACGGGTTTCCAATCCTGCACCGGGCTTGTAATCGCGCCGACGTTGACAACACGTGACCCAAGCGCAAGGTGAGATCCGGATACCAGGAGCCAAAACTTCAAATTTCCACCTCAACACCACAACCACCGTCTCTGCGATCCTTTCCATCTGTCGAGCAGAGATCAGATTCAGCTCAAGATTGTTGTCCGAAAATTCACCGAGCTACCCGAGTAAGCTGCCCCATAACCATGCGCCTTCGAGATAGCTAACACGTCGTGAACAACACTCCAAAATGACCGACGTCGATCTCGACCAGCTGCTTCGCGTGCCCGGTTTGATCTTCAAAGCCGCCGGCCCTGTGCTTGGCACAAGCAATATCGCCGAGTCCGCCCTCCGTCTTCTCCAGCTCGATTCTGGCCATCGTCACCAGGGCGCCAGTCAGCTTTTGGTCGTAAAGCGCATCACCTACTTCGCGCGTGGAGCTCTTGGCATCAGCACGCACTACCTCGATATCGGTCCCAAGACAGTTGCCTATCAGAGCATGGTCACACGCATCGTCACTCTCGACAAGATTGCCCACCGCGAGCATGTCGCCAAGGGCCTCACCATGCGCCAAGCCGTCATGCGCATCGTCGACAACTACCGCATCGCCCGCAAGCACTACGTTCTCCACGCCGACGTCGTCGACCCCCCTGTTCCTGTCGCTCGCGAGAATGAGACAGAGGCTGCGCTCGCTACCCGCCAGCGATTCGATTTCGCGCTGCGAGAGATGTGGGACGTCCTCGGCCAGCTTCATGACTTGATGACTGTGAGCGGCAAAGCGACTCTGGCTGCGAAGCAGGCTCTGGCTCAGGAGGTCAAGAAGGGAGAGCTCTTGCAGCTGAAGCTTCGTCTCCACGAGAAGGATGCCGAAATCTAGAAGAAGGAGCATCTTACCTCTAGCGACAAGTTCATGGCAGCTGAGAAGAAGGCAACTGTCTTGCAGAGTGAGAATGAGGACTTGAAGAAGGAAAATGAGGACTTGAAGAAGGAAAATGAGGACTTGAAGAAGGAGAATGAGGACTTGAAGAAGGAGAATGAGGATATGGAGAGTTACATTCGGCTCTTCATTCCGAGGACAGAGGCATCTCCGAGGATGGGCTCAACGGGCTGGAGGCGATTCCGCAGTGATGTATCAGCGACGACTTGGAGACTGGCTTTTGATACCCAGTGGCTATTGCGCATGGAAGAAGGACCTCAGAATACGGTTGGAACGATCGTTTTACGATTGTCATGAGGTTTGGGCTATCGAATGTCAGGGTTACAGACCAGAAGTAACATAGGTAGTCCTCCCCATCTGGAACTGGCATGTCCAATTGCGTCCGCCCAAACATCGTGTCATATCGCACACCGAAGGTTCCAACATCGGTGATGGTCCTGTCTCGTTTCCTGTCAATTTGGTCTCCTCTGTCGCAATTATCCCGAATATGCGGGTCCTTTCTTTGTCGAGTTCAGCAGCGCGGGTCTTTCACACGCATGCGTTCCTCTGAGTCTGCTGCAATCTAGCAGTATTAGCTGGCTTTTAAAGATGATTAATTGCAAAAACCCTCGAATGCGAACATCGGCACCCATTCTTCGTCGTACAGACCAAACTATCTCATGACGATTGGCTCACCACATGCCTTTGAACAGCACCGCCCCTGTCAGGTGCCCACAGCAGCAGTATTCAAGTCTGAAACCATGCTGCATTAAGCACATGGTTGGTCAAATGGTTTAACTACCTGGATTTGACACTTCAGCCCGGGTAACCCCCGAGGATCAGTTCGAAACATGACTAGGGCCGACGGCCGGCGCGAAAATCCGTCACTTAGAGAGCTTGATCCTACTTTTTGCACTGATCTGTATTTGTGAATGACTGCCTTGGGAAATTTGTCCAGCTATGTACCCTCTCGTTTAGTTCACCTCGTCCGGCTACATTAAGGATATATTTTCCGCTCGTCGCAAGTATTGAGAGGCGGTTCCGCTGTTAGCACGAAGAAAGCAGAAGGTATTGTTGAATTCGTCACTGTTGGGCAGAAGCCGATCATTCTATATGCAACCTGTTCATGTTGAATTACATGCATACGCCCATGCTACTCAAATGCCGGCAAGGCTTTTCTTATGATCATACCACAGGTTCAATCTAGTTGGTGCCTCCGAATTCCCTGTTTCTCTGAAGGAGACATGCTTCCATCCTTTTCTCGTGCCTTGAACGCTCGTCGCAAGCCCTTAGGAAACCGAACCTCTTCTTTGATGAGTGACAGTGCGACCATCTGTTTTTACGTCTCATTCATGTACTCTTAGCACACATTCCCCCGAAGCCAGGCTTATAGATAACACTGACTGTCCTACCACCGAGACCAATCATAAACATTGGACCTTTTATTCTTCAGCTTACGCGTCTGCCAAGACGACCATTCCTTTATGGGCTCTGTAGCATAACTCTGCGGAAAGACGCCAGTCAAGCCATGAACGCTCTCCTCTTCTGACTTCAGATGTACCTGTTGCTAGTCTGTGGAGGCCAGACCCAGAGAGCCCCTCCATGACTGAAAACCTGTAAACGATTTCCTTGGTGCCGCAAAAGCGTTCGCTTGTAACTTGACCGGTTTTCGTGAGAGGTCTTTCCCCTAGCTGTCCTCGGCGTTATTGACGCATGGCGCATCATATTGCTTAGCGTCGTGAGCGGTCGGGCTCGTGTTGTGCTGTTGAGACTGGGAGGAATTGCGATCTCTGGCTCTGAGCTTTCGGCGATTCCGTCTTCCATTGCGCAGATGACGTTGGTCGAGGTCTTCGAGTTGATCCAAGCGAGCTAACAGGTTGAAGCGGTCTCGTTGCGTATTGTCTTCATCCATGTGTAGCTGAATGTATCTCCTTCGAGCCTTTCGATAAGTGTTGACAATCCGAAAGATGGCGTTTTTGACGCTCCTTCCATGCCTGGATACCTCGCTCTTTATGCTGGATATGCCAATTGGATAGCTATCGTTGCACTCGTCGAGTACCTCGGTCCAGAAAACATGGGAGTTGAACTCAGTCTCCTTCCCGCTGGCGACTAGTGTGGTGTAATTGTCGAATTTCCGCAAGTTGGACTCAAAGTCCTCATAGTCTGGCTTGGGACAGAGTTCGGAAGGTTCCAAACGAAGAATGCGCATGGCCATAGCCGCGGTCTTGTCTGACCCTAGACAGGGTCCGGGAGGAAAGTGAACACCCTTGCCATCTAGACGGAGAAGCTTCTCGTTGTGCTCTTGGGCTCGTCTCTGAGCCCGCGAGTAGGTCATTGCTGCTGTTCCGTTGACAGTTAGAGGGATTTGCGTTGCACACAATGTGAATGAAATTAGGTCAACATACGCAGGCAGGGTATTCCCAGATGGCTAAGTGAGAACAGTGGAGGAGTGTATGCGCCGTTGTGGGCAGTGGCGGAAGTTGTGGTTGATGAAGTGTGATCGGAAGGTACCGTGTCGAAAGATTTCTGATTGGCATGAGATTTGTCGGAGAGGATTGCGGCGCTGGTCCTGGCGGTGAAGAATGCAGAAAGTAGACGAGGGTGAGGAGGAAGTGGGAGGTGTGGCTCTTGCCCAGGTACCTACTTAGCCCTCTGATTGCGACTATGTCGAGGCCGCCTAAAGGCCTGAGTCAGCAAAGCCGCCAGATTCTGGGAGGCAGGTGCGCGCCACTCATCCAGTGATCAGCGGGGGCCAAAAGACACAGCACCCGGGCAATCTTTTCATCAAAGGCGTCAAATGTGATGTTGTCATAACCATGGCGAACTTATTGCACTTGTCGTCCTATTCCACTACGTAGCTTCGAACCCAATCCTCATACTTTGAACTTCAACTTTCCAGGCCCATCTTCAATCCATACGTCTTTCCCATTAGCCATGTACCTCCACATCAACTCGGAGTTCAGCCCCAAATAGCTGGCAGCAACGGTATCCAAAGACATCATCTCTGTGACATACTGAATGTGTGGGAAGTAGAAAGCAAAAGTCTCCCTCGTACATCTTGCATAGCCAGTTTCTTTCTCATGCAATTCTTTGTCGAGCGCAATAGCAGGGATGCCAAGTTTCTTTGTGCTTGTGCTGCCTCGTTGGTAAAAGCCTGTGTCATTCACAATCAGTCTTTGATCCTCTATTTTCCGTTTGGAGTGTCAACTTACCTTCAATCTTGATCAATGCAAATCGCCTCCGCCACTGTGCTACCACTTGGGCTGGTAAGAGCACGTGCTCTCTTCACCGCGGCAGCGCGTGCGTAGGGGAGCTCAATGCCTTTGAGGGCAGCCTCTCGGGTGACGGCGGCAACCTTTGCCTGCTCCTTCTTGATCGCTGCCTCAAGCTCTTTGACCCTGCCCAAATTCTCGCGGTTCATGTCGAGTACATCCTGCATCTGTTGGTTCAGAATCTTGCGGGCTGACTTGTCACCCTGCCGATAGCCTCTGGCATGTGCCTTCTCATGATTTCGCTCATGAGCCTTCTTCTGCACGCGGAGGATGGCGACACAATGCTTCTTGATCATGGCTTTGTCCTCATCGGAGACATCAAGCTTGTTGACATATTGCTCTGCCTCGCGGATGGTGGCAGGCTTGGCCCTGTGTAGCTTTCGCATGGCAGGACTCATGTGAATTTTGTCGTCGTCATCAGTCTCATCGTCATCAGTAGACTCATCCGTGTCGGTGTCATTGTGGGTGGACGAGGGAGAAGGTAGACCAACGTCAGCTTGGGCAGAAGCCATGTTCATTTGCCGCACGATCTCCTAGTCGTGCATAGCTTGGTGGAGCTGATGGACATCCTTCGCCTCAGACGAGTAATCGAGAGGGGCTTCAAGCAAGGCTGCAGCTTGGTTGGGGTGGGTGTTTCTGAATTGGTCCCAGCCTCGCTGGTAGGTGTCGATGAGGTATGCGAGACGAACCAGGACTTTGGGGTCGGCGTCTGACATAGCAAGATCCTCGCGAAGGTTCTCCTTGGCCTTCTCCCAGAACTTAATGGTGTGGAGGCTCAAACTGGGTTCATCGCAAGCAAGTTGAGTAACGACGTCAACTAACATGCTGAGACGGAACGCGAAAGCGCCGATGGTTGTGTGAGCGTCGAGATGCAGAATGGGGAGCAACTCATCGCCATCGTAGAAAAATGTTAGTTTGAACGAATTGTCGAGGCTGAAGCCAGGGAGATCGGCAGGAGCCGACGACAAGGCCATTGTTTCGAGCTGGGTGGGTCTTCGTTTGGTCTAGACTGTGGCGAGTAAGGGCTGTGGCCAAGGTGAGATTGAAGGTCGATGGCGACGGTAAGTCTTCAGCCAAGGCTGCGATGGAAGTTCGGAAGGAGAAGACGAAGAAGGCAGGGCCGACGAAGGACAAGGCATCTGGTCAGGGGGACTCACTGTTACCACGTGACGACGTGCAGTCGGTCAGCCCCACACTACGCCTACGGACACTAGCGCGTCCTTGCCCAGCTACCGCCCAGCTACACGTCTACGCTTGACAACGTGGGGAGGTGGTTCGGCTTCTGAGGTTCTTGCAGTGTTCGGTTTACTCGGTAGTGAGGGGGTGTGCGTGTGTGTGTATTTATTTAACATCTGTAGTACCTTAGAACTGAGTAAAAGACGCTTTAGTATCTATCTATTGTAAGTAAGTATATAGACTTAAATAGAATAATAAATACGAGATTTAAAAAATAAAGTAAAATAAAAAGTCTTATTATTCTAAATATTTTATTTTTATACTATACAGTATATTTTAATAGTAAATTTATAAAATATTAATATATTAATTCTTTTTAAGATATAATATATTAAATATTATAGAAGTAATAGTTTTAATATTTTACATATTATATAGAGAAGTAGAGAATAATTTTCTATGTTATATAATATATAGAGAAGAAATATATTTAATATTAATATATATATTCTCTATCTATTTTAGTTTATTAAAATAAAAGAAGCTATATAAAATTAATATTAATAGTTTTAAATAAACTAATAGAAATAACGTTAATAATGTAATATAATATATCAATTTAGATTATAATTAATTTTTATATTGAATATTTTATTTTTTAAATTAAAAGAATAAACCTCTATATTAATTATATTTCTAAAATAAAAACAAATAAATTTATATAGTAACTAATACATCTAATTCTATTTAGCTAGTTTAAGCTTTATATGGAAGTAAAAAGTATTAAGTAATTTAGATGGAGTAGCTATATTATATAATATATAACTTTATTATTATAGTAGTTATATATTTTTAATAAACTGTTTTTAGTTTTTATTAAGTTATTTTAAAATAGATTAATATTAATTAAACTAAAGTGTTTTATATTTATTTTTTTCTATAAAAAAGTAAACATATTAATATTTTATATTTATTATAAAAATAGTAAAGCTTTATATTTTTATATGAAAAATATTTATAATATATAGTGAAGTTATCATAGTTATTTTTAGCTATAATTAGATAATATAGGTTTTATTAATCTAATATCTATATTTTAAGAACTAGTTTTAAATTAGTGAATAAGTTTAGTTTATTATAACTTATTAAGCTATTTATAGCTTACTAAATATTACAAATATAACCTTTTAATCTTTTAGCAAGTTTTTCTATATAGCTAAAAGTAGCTATATATATAAAAAGATCTATTTATTTATAGTTTGTTTTTTTAATAAGTTTATTTATTAGCTTATTATAAGGGGTTAGCCTTTAGTTTATTTAATTTAGGGGTGCTTTAATTATAGTAATCTAAGCTAAGGAAGGGAAGTTTCTAGAATACTCCTTACATAGAGGAAGAATAAATATAAGGCGCCTATTAAGCGAATATAGTTACTAGGGGTAGAATTCCTAATAGTCTATGATATTACTTAAATATAATAAATAAACTTAGCTTATGATATATACCTCCCCCCTCTAGTTTTTATATAAATATAGGTTTGAGTATAGATTAAAAGTAGTTAGTATAGACTAAAAGTAAGCTTAGAATTTCATTAATCTAAGTTATTAATTATATTATACTTTATAAATAAATAATATAATAGTATAATTCTTTATATTTAGTTTATATTTAGTTTTTCTTTCTCTTATTAACCTATACAATAATAAGTTATCTAATCCTTTATATTATTATTTAACTAATTTATTATTATGATAGCTATATACTTAGCGTATTTTTAGTTTACTTATTCTATAAGTTAATTAGATTTAAATTTTTATTAACTACTAATTTATATAGATTTAGCTACTACTTACTTAGTTGCTATAAATAATACTTCTTATGTATCATTACTTATTCTCTTTTTATTTATTTTACTATATATAAACTTACTTTTATATTTCTTTTAGTTATTTATTTATTACGTTTTTAATATTATATTAAAGCCTTTATAAGTATTAGTTTATTTTGAATAGCATCCTCTTAGATAAAACTTAAAGATCTTTTTATAAAGCTTTTTATTTACAATATATGACTACTATAACTAAAGCTAAACGATTTATTAATATTATAGTTTAGTATAACATTTTTAAATAAGATGTATTATTTTACTGCTTTTTTATAATTATAAAACTAATTTTTCTTTAAATAATATTATTTAGTATATCTATGACTCTAATAAACCTATTAAATCTACTTATATTAATATAAATATTATTTATTTACTATTCTATCTCTATAAAACTATAGATTACTAAAACATTTTATTATATCTCTCATTATTTCTATAGTTATCAATAGTTTTAGTAATAAATATTTTAAAGATCTCTAAAATAATACTTTTCTAAAACTTTAAAACTTTAGTTTTAAATAAAAGAAATAGTAGTGATTTATATTTTTATCAACCTTATTATTATTATTATAAATAATCTTTAAAAGATATCTTTATTTTTGAATGTATTGAAATTATTAGTTATTTATAACATTAATAGACAACATAGAGGGTTAAATATTATATTAAGTTTCTTTAAAATATAAATAACATTTAAATTAAGTTAAAAACAACAATTAGTAATATTAGGTAATTTAAAGTTAGTTTTATTTAAATTTATAGTTTATAATAATATATATATAAAGGTTCTTATTAAAACTATATAGTTTATTAACATTTAAACTAAATAATACTTAGATTATATAAGTTTTTAAAGTGTTTTTACTATTTAGATAACTTTAGTTATATCTATTTCGATTATGAAATAATACTTTTTAAATAAAACCATTACTCTAAATAAAAAAAACATAAATAGAATATATTTTTATATAATTTTATATTCTAAAATATTAATTTCATTCTATAATATATCTGATTAGAATATATAAATCTAAAGTCTTTTTTATAAATATTGATTGTAAAAGAAAGAGATTTGTTAAAGTTATAATTGTCACGGGCTAGAGCCCGGCCGAGATCTCCGGCTTTGCCGGGGCAGTTACCGAGATCCAGCTCCGCCGGATCCACTATTCTACCGTGGCACACCGCCTAGCCCGACCACGTATCTCCGTAGCTAGGCGCCCACTCTTGTAAAGTCCTTCTTCTCTTCAGCTTAGAATAGTCAATCAACAGCACCTCTACGTTGAACAAGCCTAGGGGCCAGCCCCTTACATATTCTAAGCTCGACAACAAAAGACGCTATACGAAACCTCACGAGAGCGATATGACGATTCGCTAGAGGGTAGTGCAAACGAGAAGACGCTATATGGAACCTCACGAGAGCGGCACGATGGATCCGCCAGAGGGTAGCGTAAACGACGCGATGAATGCTGAGATTGATCGCCAGATCAACGAAGCGGTCAACGCAAGCGTCCGTCCTCTTCAGGACCAGATGGCCCAGCAGACGGCCCAGATGACGCAGCTCTTAACAGCTCTGAATAGGCTTATGTCAACGGATAGAGCAACCCCTACGCCGCTTGCGAGCAGCGTAACGACCCCGTCCACAGCTGATACAACTATACAGGCAACGAGCGACGGTATAACGATGGCAGCTAGAGGGCGGAGGAAACATCAAATACCAAACCCACTAAAGTTTAGCGGCATACGTAAAGATTTCCAACGTTAGTTCCTAGAGATGAAGGGAAAGATACAAAGAGATAGGGAAGCTTTCGACTGTGATGCCAATATATTCGCATACATCTACGCAAGGCTGGAAGGCACAGCTCAAACCATGGCGTCACCCTACTACGCTCAAGGCGGAGCAGATAGAGCGGAATCCTCCAATCAGTTTATGCAATACCTTAAGACTCGCTATGGAGATCCTAATACAGAAGCCAGGGCACTGGATAGGCTACGTACTATCCGACAGAAGGAAAACGAAAGCTTTGCTATATTCCTCCTAAAGTTTGAGAAGGAGTTAGCAGAAGGTGGAGGAGGACACTAGGCAGACGCAGTCAGAATCAACTATCTGAAAGGAGCCCTGAACTCCACTCTGCGGGACCATCTAATTAGTGTAATCGATCCCCTGAAAACCTACCCAGAATACACCCAGGTCCTTATGATAATAGGGTTAGGGCTAGATAGTAGGACCTACTAGGAACGTCATGAACGACGACGATACTGAGATGCTGATAGGGACACCCTCATAGCTGGAGTCAGCCGGACTAAGGAGCCCAGAAGAGCTGCAAAGTCACAGCGCTACCGCAGCAACTCTTCCTCATCAGAAGACAACATAAGGCCCTAGAAAGATAACTGTAAATGCTATAACTGCAATAAGATCGGCCATATTGCTATATGGTGCCCTAAGCCAAGACGTTCAGGGCCTAAGAAGGTCAAGAAGGTTGAGAAAGCTAAGAGGCGAGAGGAGAGCAGCGATAGCAATACTACAGAGGAGCTAGGAAGCTCTGAAGCTGAAGAGAGCTTGGGAAAAGAGTAACTCTAACGTGAAGTCGGGCGTTAGAGGCTAAGCCTAGTGATATTACAGAATAGAAGCAGTTCAAGCATCATATAAGCAGCAAATCAGCAGTGATCACTACCTGCATACATAAGGGCACTTAAGCAGACGCCCTAGTAGACACTAGGTGCAATCTATACTCCCTTATCGACCACAACCTCGCCCGTAAGCTCCGCCTACTGGTAGTAGACCGCTCTGAGCGGCTGCTAGGCAGCTTTAGCGACGCTACAGGCGCTATAAAAGCAACAGGTGTAGTTATCTTCAACCTCAAGCTGTGTGGTTATGATGAGAAGATCTTTGCATATACTATACGTAGCCTTAGTGACGACCTGTTCCTAGGGAAGCCTTGGATAGAGAGGAACCATATTCTATATGATGCTGCTGCATAACGGATACAGCATAGGAGGGGTGGCGTAGACCTACGCTTAAAAGGCGAAGAAGAACCAGATCGAGTAAGGGAGATCAGAGCTGCGCGTCTCCTTCCAGGAGCTCCTTTCACTGCACTCTATAGGAGAGCACAACAAGACACCAAACGAACTGCAGGATACGAAGTCCAAGCCATCAGCCTAGCAGATATACAGAAGGCCCTTACGAAGAAGACTGAGAAGGCAGATCTAAAGGCCCTCCTTCCGCCAGCTATACTAGCTGAGTTCCACAAGCTGTTCCAACCTAACGAAGCCGCCAACCTTCCACCACATCGTCCTGGGGTCGACCATAAGATCCCTATCAAACAGGATAGTAGTGGTAATAAGACTGTACTACCATAGGGGCCGCTCTATAGCATGTCACGAGAAGAACTCCTCGTCCTCCGTAAGACCCTATGAGACCTACTGGATAAAGGCTTTATCCGCGCCAGCAGCTCAGAGGCATCAGCACCAGTACTGTTCGTACGTAAACCAGGGGGAGGGATACGCTTTTGTGTTGACTACCGCGCCCTTAATAAACTCACTAAGCGCGACCGATACCCTCTCCCCTTAATCCAAGAGACACTACGCACTGTTAGTGCTGCTAAGTGGTTCACAAAACTGGATGTGGTTGCAGCGTTCCATAAGATACAAATTGCTGAAGGAGAGGAGCATAAGACGGCCTTCAGGACAAGATATAGGCTATTCGAATGGCTAGTTGTACCCTTTGGGCTTATAGGAGCCCCCGCTACATTTCAACGATATATCAACAGAGTGCTTCGAGAGTACCTAGACGATTTCGCTACAGCATATATGGACGACATACTGATCTACTCAAACAGCTCACGGCAAGACCATAAAGCAAAGGTTGAGCTAGTACTACAGAAGCTTGCTCTTGCAGGGCTCCAGCTAGACCCTTATAAGTGTGCGTTCTCTGTGAAGACAGTCAAGTACCTAGGGTTCATTATCACCGCAGGAGTAGGCATCTCCTGCGATCCTGAGAAGCTGAAGGCAATCAAGGAATAGGCTGCGCCAAAGACGGTTAAGGGAGTTAGAAGCTTCCTAGGGTTTGCAAACTACTATCGGATCTTCATCCCAGCATACTCAGAGATTGCTGGACCCCTTATATCTCTTACAAAGAAGGGCGTCCTATTCCACTGGGGTAAAGAGCAGGAAGTAGCATTCCAGAAGCTTAAGAGGATCTTTGCAGCTAAGCCTATCCTACATCAACTAGACCCTAAGCATACAACCTACGTTGATGTTACGGTCAGCTATCCGACAGTAGGGTCTGCTAACAGAAGCTGGGGATTGATACGTTCTAACAGTACACTGGGTCGTGGTCGTAGGTCGTAGTTCGTAGGCTGTAGTAGATCGGTTCTTCAGAGGCCAAGGTGATCAGTCTTGGACTTAACAAGTGATTCGCAGTGAAGGTAAGCTGAGAGTATCTGTGAGGATGAATACTAAGTTGATTGCTGAAGAGCTATAGAAGTTTGACCATAAGCCAGGCTCAGGGTTATACTATATATAAGTCTAAGTAGTTTCTTTAAACTGAGGACCGATGTCTTCCGAGCGGTCCCCAGGTGTGGACCGCTTTCTTCATGTCGGTCCTAGGTCAGGACCGCTTATCTCTCGTCGGTCCTTCTTATCGTCACGTGACCTGTACCATAGTTTTTCCGTTCCGAGTGAGTCCCTGTTGTTCCCGTGATCCTGTAGTACAAATGTCTTATCCTAGCCGCCCGATGCCCAAGTGGGTCGGTCAACTGTTATCCATACATAACGGGTCGTAACAGTTGAGGCTGACTGCTCAGGCTTCGCCCTTAGAGGAGTACTGTCACAAGAAGATAAGCATAGGAGACGTCACGCAGTAGCATACCACTCGCAGCAGCTGAATGCCGCCCAGTTCAACTACCTAATCCACGATAAGGAGATGCTAGCTATTATTAGCTGCCTACGAGCATGGAGAGCGGAACTACAGAGCGTCAATAAGTTCAAGGTTCTATCTGATCATAAGAACCTGAAGTACTTCATGACAAAGCAGAGGCTCACAGAACGACAAAGCCGATAGGCAGAGGAGCTGTCTCAGTACAACTTCGAGATACAGTACCAGCCAGGAAGTGAAGCAGTAGTGCCAGACGCACTCTCTAGATGCAAACAAGACATACCTACGTCTCTAGAGGACGAGCGCAAACAAGGCCGGATTCTCCAGCTTCTTCCCGAAGTAGCCCTTACCTCAACACATACACGACGCGTAGAGGCAGCCCCATCAGTGCTTATGTTCACCAACGATAAGGAACTATAGCAACTCTGGGACCAGACCTAAGGGCAAGACCAAGTCTACCAGCAGGCATATAATGCTGTGAAACAACGAGAAAGAAGCTTCCCTCCTAGCCTCAAGCTAAAGGTCCAGATTGCTGAGTGTGAGATCGATAATAGCAACCAACTACTATTCAGAGACCAGATCTAGGTACCAGGTAGTGAGGACCTAGATAGCGAGGCGAACACACTACGTACTCATATCGTTCAAAGCACCTACAACTTAGTACTTAGTGGCCACCCTAGTAGAGATAATACCCTCGCGTTAGTCAGTAGGCGCTTCTACTAGCCTAGCCAGTCACAGCTAGTACGACACTTCTGCCGCAATTGCGATAGCTGTGGGCGAAGCCATATCTGGAGAGAGCATCAAAAAGGACTTCTGAAACCTCTACTAATACCGCAGCGTATACGAAGCGACCTCGCTATGGATTTCATTACCAACCTTCCCCTTACGGATAAGGGTGAGGGATACCTTTGGGTAATTATCGACCGGCTAGGAAAAGGCGTAACTCTTAAAGCTATGGAAAGTATGGAAGCTGAAGCCTGTGCTGAACGATTCCTGAGTTGCCACTTCTGCTTCCACAGCGTCCCTATATTAATTATGAGCGATAGGGGAAGCAACTGGACAAGCCGCTTCTAGCGACAGTTCTGTAAGCTGTTAGGAATAGAACAGCAGCTTAGTACTACATACCATCCACAGACTGATGGAGGCCTGGAGAGGATGAATCAAGAGATCCAGGCCTACTTACGCAATTACGTCACATACTCGCAGAAAGACTAGGCGTCCAACCTCCCAGCAGCTCAGCTAGCGCTATATAACCGCGATAATAGCGCTATCAGGATAAGCAGCTTCTTCCTAGAGCATAGGTACCACCTAGAACCTATCACAATCAAGGAAGCAGGTCCAGAAGACCCTGAAGGACCTCGTGAGGACCTAGCCCGCAAGCTAGTAATAAGACTCCAGGATGTGATGGATATAGCCTAATCAACCCTTGCCTCAGCATAGCAACGCTACGAAGAGCAGGCTAATAAGAAGCGCCAGCCTACAGAGAGACTGGAAGTAGGCGATAAAGTCTGGCTTCACATAGGCCACTATAGGTCCCCCAGGCTATGCAAGAAATTGGATTAGTTGCACCATAAGTATACCATTACGAAGGTTATCTCACCATACGTTGTAGAGCTTAACATGCCGACAGCTATATACCCACGCTTCTATGTGGATACCCTAAAGCGTGCAGGTAACAACCCCTTACCTGGGCAGGCGTTAGATGACGAACAGCCGCCCCCGATTATAGACGACGAAGGCGAGGAGACTTAGAATATAGAGAGTATCGACGCCGCTACCTGGAAGCGTCGAGGGCGTGGGAAACACCGCGAGGTTCTGGTTAAGTGGGAAGGATACGCAGAAAGGACCTGGGAGCCTATTGAGGCGCTTCAAGGGACAGAAGCAATAGAGGCTTACGAGCGCCATTACAGCCCTGCGATAAACCATGACGGGGACCCAGCCTTAGCGCCCCAGGCGCGCCGCCAGAAGGGAGCGGGGAGGTAATGTCACGGGCTAGAGCCCGGCCGAGATCTCCAGCTTTGCCGGGGCAGTTACCGAGATCCAGCTCCGCCGGATCCACTATTCTACCGTGGCACACCACCTAGCCCGACCACGTATCTCCGTAGCTAGGCGCCCACTCTTGTAAAGTCCTTCTCCTCTTCAGCTTAGAATAGTCAATCAACGGCACCTCTACGTTGAACAAGCCTAGGGGCCAGCCCCTTACAATAATAACATTTTATAACTTCAAAATAGATATTTTTAAAAGGTATTTTAAGATTTATATTTAATATTTATATATTTAAAAACTACTTTTTAAACCTTTTATGTATAAACTAATTTATTAAATCTTATAAAAACAAAGTCGTTTTTAGAAAATATTATATTAAAATAGGTTTTCTTTTTTTCTAAAGTATTAATTATAATATTAAATTATGAGATACTATGTTAAAGCCATTTAGTAATTTTAAAATATTCTTTAAAATTATAGAGACTTTCTAAGAATTTAAAGTTATAGAATATTATAATCTGATTATTAATGTATTACATCTTACTATTATTTATAATATAACTAAGAAATCTAATTTCTAAAAGTCTAATAAAAGACATATTTATTAAGACATAAAGTTGGTTACTTTTAAAAACTTTAAATATAATTTTAATGTATTTCAAATAGTTCTTATTATTATTACTAAATATTATAATATTATTAATATTTATATAAGTAAAATATTAATAGTTATATAATAGTCTATCTATAAACCTCTAAATATATATTAAAGAATTTTTAAAACTTATAAATATTATATTAGAAACCTTAACACTATAGAGACTAATTATTATTATTTTATGATAATATTATAAAAAGATAAATAGTTAATAAAAAAAGCTAATAATATTTATTATAGTTATATATTCTTTTATTTCGAAAAATAACTATAATATTGTTCTAATTAAGTATTAGATATATATTAAAAACTATAATATAATTACATAAATAGAAGTCTATAATAATATACCTTTTTCTTATATTATTAATAATTCTCTAAATAACAAATACTAAATATATAACTAAAATTAAGCTATCTCTTTAAAATATTTTATTATCTATATAAAGCTTACTATAAATACTTTTAGTAAAATTAGAATCTTTTATATTAAATAAATAAGAATTTGTTATAGTTTTTTGAATTTTACTATTTATTAATAAGTTTAATTTTAATTCATTATTTATTTAATATAGAAACATACTTTGTATTATAACAAATATTTTATTTATTTAGAATTTATTTAAAATATTATATAAATATTATATCTCTATTATAAATCTTAACGCTATATATACTAAAAATTACTAAAATATTAATAAGTTTAGAGATTCTATATAATAATATACTATCTATAACGTGGTTCATCAGTTAGCAACAAATATCAGTCAGCAACAAACTTTTTCCCAAACGCAGTTTGCACTAAACGACTTAAAACTTTGATGCATAATAACTTTGCAACCATCATGCCAATTTACAAATAAGAAGATAAGATACTTCTAGCTATTAAGGCGATCTAATCAGCCTGTGTTGCTAGCTAAAACCTAAGTGTGTTATATACTGCAAAGACTTATAGTGTCCCTAAAAGGTCTATACGTGTTACGACCCGTAAACAAGGATAACAGCTGAACGACCCACTCGGGCGTCGGGCGGCTAGGACAGGACATTTGTACTGCAGGATCACGGGAACAACAGGGACTCACTCGGAAACGGAAGAACTATGGTATAAGTCACGTGACGATAAGATAAGAGATTAGATCCGTACGCTAAGAATACGGAAGCCGTACTTGGCGTGAACGGAACCCGTCAGGACTAGGAACGGTAACAAGAGACAAGGGCACTGTTCAGAACTTGTATATAGTATGACCCTGAGCCTGGCTCATGGTCAGACTTCCATAGCTCTTCAGCAATCAACTTAGTATTCATCCTCACGGATACTCTCAGCTTACCTTCACTACGAATCACTTGTTGAGTCTAAGACTGATCACCTTAGCCTCTGAAGAACCGATCTACTACAGCCTACGAACTACGACCTACGACCACGACCCAGTGTACTGTTAGAACGTATCAATCCCCAGCTTCTGTTAGCAGACCCTACTGTCAGATAGCTGACCGTAACACTTTGATTGCTCCTGTTCAGTAAGTTGACCATTGATTCCTACTAACAGTAACGAACGATAATGTCTTCCCGCGCCTCTGTCAAGTCGCCTACCCTGGGATCCTCGTCCACTTCAGGAGGACGAGCCACCCAAAACCTAGCCCAGGAACTAGGAGACCAGAAGATGAAGGACGACTCAGACAGCAAGGACGACACCGAAGAACTTAAGCGCCAGCTCGACAAGACCAACAGCGACTTCAAGGTAATGCGCGAAATGTTCAACCAGAACGCTGCAGCCCTTAGCGAACTCCAGGAACAAGCCCGCAAGAACCAGGATCTGGAGAAAGAAGTCGCCACTCTCTAAGCTGCCGCCAACGTCATATCCGCCCCAGTCGAAGGACGAGAACGCCTCAAGCTCAATACGCCTTCCACTTTCGATAGGACCCCCGGACAACTTAAAGGACACCTGGTATAAGTTTAAACCTACCAGGCCTTCCACATAAACACCTTCCAGAACGACACCAAACGCGTTATACACGCAGCCACCTTCCTTCGGGGACGAGCCCTTGCTTGGTTTGAACCCCTTCAACAGGAATAGCTTGACAACCCTGTCGAAAAATACAGCTAAGAAGTCAAGGATATCTTCTTCAGCTTCGCAGGCTATGTTAAGGCCCTAGAATCTCTCTTCCTTAACCCTGATAAACGAAGACAGGCTGAGCGAGACCTGTCCCACCTACGACAGACCAAGTCGGCTACGCTCTACGCCGCAGAGTTTAGACGACTAGCTGCAAGACTCTATATAACCAACGAAAGCAAAGTTTTTGCCTTTTATTAAGGACTTAAGGATGAGGTCAAAGACGAAATAGCCAAACTAGAGACACCCCCCAGCTTCCTCACCTACGTCAAACATACTATTAAGGTTGACAACCGCCTCTATAAACGACGAAAGGAATGAGGAGAGAAATAATAAAACCTAAATTCAGGACGTAAGTACTAATAGCAGCCTCAGCAGAGGTTCAACAACCAGCAGAACGACAACAGACCCTGCAACAACTGGAATAACA